AGGCTCCTCTTTGGTCACTATTTTAAATCTTCAAATGCTTTCGCCTTCTCGCTTGCAAAAGGTGGGGCTGTCGACCTTGATCACCCCATCGCAGTCCAAAATACGAAGGTCAAGGAGTTTGGGAATTTGGTGTGAACCAACACACCTGAACTCCCTTCCGTGTTATTTCCTCCATCCCTATTGACGACGGTTCCTGGCTTTTTGCGGGAACTGAATTCCATTGAGACGTAACCAAACTCAATTAAATACCTGCCCGGCTCTTTGGCTCCGAGTGAAGGTCACAAACAACTCATCCTTTCAAACGGCCGGAGTTCCTTGCCAGGTTCATTCAACAACTCCCAAAATTCCAAGTTTTTTGGCTGTCATTCTCTGAGCAAAAGGAACAGGGCTGACCAACGCTCTCCTTGACGTCAAAGGGGCCGAAAGTTTCCTTACTTGAGATTCGGTTGGCTGCAAACATGAAAAGGAAAGTGGTTGGGAGTGTTTGGGGGAGAAGAAAGTGGCTTGCTAAATTCCAGATGCCTTCTGTGTGGGATGGGAAGATTTAGAGTGGATCTACACTAAAGAATGAATGCAGTTTGACACCACTTTAACAGGGATTCCTGGGACTGTTTGGGGCAGAAGAAGGCAGCTTGCCAAATTTTAGATGTATGGTCAAAGGCTTTCATAATCATCATCATCAGCATTTAAAACTTTTATATCCCAATCTTCATGGCCAGAATCACTGGGTTGTTGAGAGTTTTTCGGGCTATCTGGCTATGTTCCAGAAGCATTCTCTCCTGACGTTTCACCCACATCTATGGCAGGCATCCTCAAAGGTTGTGAGGTCTGTTGGAAACTAGGCAAGTGAAGTTGAATATCTGTGGAATAATGTCCAGGGTGGGAGAGAGAACACTTGTCTGTGTGAGGCAAGTGTGAATGTTGCAATGGATCACCTGGATTAGAATTTTTTTACCTCCCAACAAACATCCAAAGGAGTCTAGTGTCTAGATCAGTGGTTCGCAACCTGGGGTCCCCAGATGTTTTTGGCCTTCAACTCCCAGAAATCCTAACAGCTGGTAAACTGGCTGGGATTTCTGGGAGTTGTAGGCCAAAAACATCTGGGGACCCCAGGTTGAGAACCACTGGTCTAGATCCAGGGGAGTCATGTTCCCCATGCTCTATTCTGCCTTGGTTAGACCACACCTGGAATAATGTGTCCAGTTCTGGGCACCACAATTGAAGAGAGATATTGACAAGCTGGAATGTGTCCAGAGGAGGCGACTAAAATGATCAAGGGTCTGGAGAACAAGCCCTATGAGGAGCGGCTTAAAGAGCTGGGCATGTTTAGCCTGAAGAAGAGAAGGCTGAGAGGAGACATATTTTTAGCCATGTATAAAAAAATGTGACAGGGAGGAGGGAGGAAGCTTATTTTCTGCTTCCCTGGAGACTAGGACAAGGAACAATGGCTTCAAACTACAAGAAAGGAGATTCCATCTGAACATTAGGAAGAACTTCCTGACTGTGAGAGCCGTTCCGCAGTGGAACTCTCTGCCCCGGAATGTGGTGGAGGCTCCTTCTTTGGAAGCTTTTAAGCAGAGGCTGGATGGCCATCTGTCAGGGGTGATTTGAATGCAATATTCCTGCTTCTAGGCAGAGGGTTGGACTGGATGGCCCATGAGGTCTCTTCTCACCATGCTAAAACAGTGGATGTGGCTCTTAATGAGACATGCTGCATTATCACGGGTGTCTGCGCCCTACACCACTGGAGAAATTACACTGTCTAGCCGGTATTGCACCACCTGACATCCGCCGGGAAGTAGCAGCCAATAGTGAAAGGACCAAGGCAGAGACATCTCCAGCTCATCCCTTGTTTGGATATCAGCCAGCACGTCAACGACTTAAATCAAGAAATAGTTTTCTAAGATCTACAGAGACACTCGCTGGAACACCTCAGCAAGCGAGAGTCCAAAAGTGGCAGGCTCAAACCCAGAACCTCAATCAATGGCTGATACCAAATGAGAGACTCCCCCCTGGGCACACAGAAGACTGGGCGACTTGGAAGGCACTGAACAGACTGCGCTCTGGCACCACGAGATGCAGAGCCAACCTTAAGAAATGGGGCTACAAAGTGGAATCCACGACATGCGAGTGTGGAGAAGAGCAAACCACAGACCACCTGCTGCAATGCAACCTGAGCCCTGCACATGCACAATGGAGGACCTTCTTGCAGCAACACCAGAAGCACTCCAAGTGGCCAGATACTGGTCAAAGGACATTTAATCAACTACCAAGCTTGCAAACTTTGTGTTTTGTCTGTTTGTTTGTTTTGTTCTGTTAGAAATGTAATACAATTCTGGTTGCCTGACACAATAAATAAATAAATAAATATCATAAGGAGCCCGACCTTGAAACTGCTAGGCCATTAAATGCTAATCAAGGTGGCCAATTGCTACATTCACACCTACCTCGAGCAGACAAGAGTTTTTTCTCCCACTCTGGACATTATTCTACAGATATATAAACCCTGTTTTCCTAGTTTCCAACAGAACTCACAACCTCTGAGGATGCCCGCTATAGATGTGGGTAAAATGTCAGGAGAGAATGCTTCTGGGACATGGCCTTACAGCCTGGAAAACTCACAACAACCCACATCCTAGATGCCTTCTGTGTGAAATGGGAAGATTGCAGTCTGGCACCACTTTAACTGACAGGGATTCTCAGGAGCTGCAGTTTGCAAGGTCTTCAGGCCCATAACAGCAAAGATGCCTCCGCAAACTTCCTTTGAATTCATAGCAGTTAAAAGGGTCTCAAACTTCATAAGATGGTTGCATTTCACACACAAGTTTCCTTCCAATGAATGCAGTTCTTAAGAAGCTGCGTAGAGATATCTGGCAAACTCCAGTCCATTTGGAAAGTCGATTTGAAGGATGAAAATAGACCCGTAAAGGTTTTCGCCCTCTAATTATAGCATTTCTTTTCCATAGAAGTTTGTGGTTAAGCTTGGACTTCCGATTTCTCCATCTCACGTACAAACACATACTCAGATGTTTTCCAGCGCAACTCCTGGAAAACATCTGAGTATGTGTTTGTACATAAGATCCCAGGAACTGTGATGCATGCGTTTGTTTATGGCATCTGCAGTTTTATATAAAGCCCAGTTAATCCAGATGATGGAATGAATTTGGGGACTATAACCCAAGCATGGCCTTATGGGGATTTTGACAGCTGTAGTGCAATGCTGCTTATATATGTCTCCTTGTGGAAATCAAAAGCATGGTACAAATAGGAAAAGGTTTTCCCCTGACATTAAATCTAATTGTGTCTGACTCTTGGTGTTGGTGCTCATCTCCATTTCTAAAACGAAGAGCCGGCGTTGTCCATAGACACCGCCAAGGTCATGTGGCCAGCATGACTGCATGGAGCACTCTTACCTTTCTGCTGAAGCAGTACTTATTGATCTACTCACATCTGCATGTTTTTGAACTGCTAGGTTAGCAGAAGCTGGAGCTAACAGCGGGAGCTCACCCTGCTCCCCGGATTCAAAATTGTGACCTTTCTGTCAACAAGTTCAGCAGCTCAGCGGTTTAACTCACTGCGCCACCAGGGGCCCCCAATGTATAAACACACATGAAATATATGTACATACTAGCCATACGCTGCCACGCATTGCTGTGGCCTAGTCTGTGTATGTGTGTTTTGTGTATGTATATATGTGTATATATGTGGTTTTGCACATGTTGTAATGTTTTTTTTTTTGGCTTTTTAAGTCTCTTCCGCTGTGTTTTCCAGTGTTTTTATGAGTGATGGTCACTCGTTGAGAGGTGTCTTGGGTCCAAATTTGGTGTCAATTTGTCCCTCTATCAGCTTCAGCTCCTCATGCAGGGACATGAGAGAAGCCTCCCACAAGGATGATAAAACATCAAAAACATCCAGGTCAGAGGTTCGAATATGAGGAGTACTATTTCTAGGGAAGTAATGCTGTTCCTCTATTCTGCTTTGGTTAGACCACACTTGGAATATTGTGTCCAATTCTGGGCACCACAATTCAAGAGAGATATTGACAAGCTGGAATGTGTCCAGAGGAGGGCGACTAAAATGACCAAAGGTCTGGAGAACAAGCCCTATGAGGAGCGGCTTAAAGAGCTGGGCCTGTTTAGCCTGAAGAAGAGAAGTCTGAGAGGAGTTATGATAGCAATGTATAAATATGTGAGAGGAAGCCACAGGGAGGAGGGAGTGAACTTGTTTTCTGCTTCCCTGGAGACGCAATGGAACAATGGCTTCAAACTACAAGAAAGGAGATTCCATCTGAACATGAGGAAGAACTTCCTGACTGTGAGAGCCGTTCAGTAGTGGAACTCTCTGCCCCGGAGTGTGGTGGAGGCTCTTTCTTTGGAAGCTTTTAAACAGAGGTTGGATGGCCATCTGTCGGGGGTGCTTTGAATGCAATATTCCTGCTTCTTGGCAGGGAGTTGGACTGGATGGCCCATGAGGTCTCTTCCAACTCTATGATTCTATGAGAGCATGGATGAGCTCCCTCTGTCAGCTCCAGCTTCCCATGCGGGGACATAAGAGAAGCCTCCCACAAGGATGGTAAAACATCAAAAACATTAGGAAGTCCCCTGGGCAATGTCCTTGCAGACGGCCAATTCTCTCACACCAGAAGCGACTTGCAGTTTCTCAAGTCGCTCCTGACACGAAATAAAAAATTCTAGCGCTTGTATTTTCTAGCTTTCCAGCTTTAAAAAAGGGAAATTCTGCCTTTGCCTGTACTGCTATCTAGTGGCCAACTCAAAACAGCACTTGACTCGCTCTTTCCGAACACAATTTGAAGCTTTCCTGTTCTGTTCCTATGCCAAATTCCCAGTCTATAGCCTTTAAGAGTTGCTTGCCTTGAAGCACAGCCTAAATCCCATTTGCATCGCAAATATTCCTACAAATTAGTCCCATGCTCTCAGTGGGGCTTATTATTGGAGAATGCAACAAAACGTTAAGCTTTCGGGTTGTCCAACCATTTTTTTTTCAATTCAGACACAGATTTTTTTCTCATTCCCATTTATTTCTCAATAACACTACCAGTTATGGGAAATCTGCTGTATTTCGGTCCTTCTTTTGAAACAGCTAACAGTTACGCCTGGGCCCAGTTCTGAGCTCTCCAGATTGCCTTTGGTGCCATTTTGGACAGAACAACACAGAAGACGTTCCCCTTTGCAAACAATTCACACTTTTTTGGGGTTTCCAATTGAGAATATGAGGTCTGAAAAGACGATTTATCTATGGGTTCCTGACAACTCATATTTCCTGAGCGTCTCACTTTGTGTCCCGTTCAGCTCCGTAAATGGAGGCATGTTCGTTGGGAGCAGAAAGCGTACCAATGCTGCCCTCTTTTGGGAAGCCACAGATAATCTAAACAGTACTCGAATGATCCAACCCATGTGTTGACATCAACAGATCTGGGCAAAAGAAGAGCATTTGGCAAACATGGCCTGCCCTGAGTTGGCCCCCAGTCTCCGTAACTTTCATTCCCAGCTCTGTGACCCTGGCAGCAGGCCGGAGTTAAGAGTTCATGTCCTGAGGTCTCCTTGGCTTGTTTTGGACCAAGAACGTTGATCATTCCTATTCCTGCCTTTGAGTGCCATAGATGTGGTTTGGGAGCCAACGCCGGCCAAACCTTTTGCTTCTTTCCGGGTCCCTGGCTTGACTACAAGGGCCGCTTGCTGTCCAGGATGGCCTTCCAGTCGTCGGCCCAGGAGTGAAGCCTGCGACGGGATGAAGGCAGCTCCAAGTGCTTGTTATGGCACGCCGTGAAGAGGATGTGCTCCCAGGTCGGCCGCTTCTCGGCTCCTGGAAGGCAGAAGAAGCAAAACCGCTCAGGAAATCAACTTTGGCTTGAGAACCGTACATGCAAAAGGGATCTAGGAGTCTTAGAGGAGTCCTAAGCCAGAGCCAACATTGTGATACAGCACCTCAAAAAGCTAATGTGATTCTGGGCTGCATCAATACGTACATAGTGTCTAGACCAAGGTGCTTGATTATAAAGCTATTGCCCTCCCAACCCTGCTGTATGCCTGTGGAACGTGGACTGTCTACAGACGTCACATGCAACTCCTGGAACGATTCCATCAGTGTTGCCTCTGAAAAATCCTCCTAATCTCTTGGGAAGACAAGCGGACAAACGTCAGCGTGCTGGAAGAAGCAAAGACCACCAGCATCGAAGCAATGGTCCTCTGCCATCAACTCCGCTGGGCCGGCCACGTTGTCCGGATGCCCGACTACCGTCTCCCATAGCAGTTGCTCTACTCCGAACTCAAGAACGGAAAGTGGAATGTTGGTGGGCAAGAAAAGAGATTCAAAGATGGGCTCAAAGCAAACATTAAAAACTCTGGCATAGACACTGAGAACTGGGAAGCCCTGGCTTGTGAGCGTTCCAGCTGGAGGTCAGCTGTGACCAGCAGTGCTGTAGAATTTGAAGAGGCACGAATGGAGGGTGAAAGAGAGAAACGTGCCAAGAGGAAGGTGCGTCAAGCCAACCCCGACAGAGACCGCCTTCCACCTGGAAACCGATGCCCTCACTGCGGAAGAAGATGCAGATCAAGAATAGGGCTCCAGAGTCACCTACGGACCCACAAGAGTACTGACCCTGGAAGACTATCCTATTTGGCCAACGAGGGATCGCCTAAGTAAGTAAGTGTCTAGACCAGTGGTTCTCAACCTTCCTAATGCCGCAACACCTTAATACAGTTCCTCATGTTGTGGTGACCCCCAACCATAACATTATTTTCATTGCTACCTCATAACTGTAATGTTGCTACTGTTATGAATCGTTATGCAAATATCTGATATGCAGGATGGATTTTCATTCACTGGACCTAATAGGCACAAATACCCGATATGCTCAAATTTGAACACTAGTGGGGTTGGGGGTTAGGGGAGAATTGATTTTGTCATTTGGGAGTTGTAGTTGTTGGGATGTGTAGTTCACCTACAATCAAAGAGCATTTTGAACTCCACCAACGATGAAATTGAACCAAACTTGGTACACAGAACTCCCATGACCAACAGGAAATACTGGAAGGGTTTGATGGGCATTGACCTTGAGTTTGGGAGTTGTAGTTCACCTACATCCAGAGAGCACTGTAGACTCAAACAATGATGGATGTGGACCAAACTTGGCACAGATACTCCATATTTATTTATTTATTTACGACATTTATATGCCGCCCTTCTCACCCTGAAGGGGACTCATATGCCCCAATATGAACATAGATGGAGTTTGGGGGAAATAGACCTTGACATTTAGGAGTTGTGGAGTTCAGAATGCTCTTTGATTGTAGGTGAACCATAAATCCCAGCAACTACAACTCCCAAATGACAAAATTAATTATTTTTAGTGATGGTCACTCCTTGGGTTACTAGGTGTCTTGTGGCCAACTTTGGTTTTTGAGTTATGTTAATCCCACAAACGAACATTACATTTTTATTTATATTACTACTAGCTGTCCCCTGCCACACATTGCTGTGGCCCAGTCTGGCGATCTGGAAAAAAGTAATGAGAAAGGGTTGGTTTCTAATATATGTAATTTCTTTATGCTAGTGGGTAAACAGTATTTCTTGTTGCTACTTTGTCAGTGTTGATGTAGAGATTGTCTGGCTTGCCTACTCTGGAACATGCATCATATAATTGTCCTTCTTTAGGGGTCCCTTTCAAATCTATGATACTATGTGTGTGTGTGAACCATATATCTATCTATATCTATGGCTGGATGGCTCTTTGTCAGGAGGGCTTTGATTACATTTTCTTGCCCTGGTGAAGGAGTTGGACTGGCTGGCCTTAAGTATTTTCTGTTGGTCATGGGGGTTCTGTGTGGGAAGTTTGCCCCATTTCTGTCATTTGTGGGTTTCAGAATGCTCTTTAATTGTAGTGAACTATAAATCCCAGTAACTACAAATCCCAAATGTCAAGGTCTATTTCCTCCAAACTTCATCTGTGTTCATATTTAGGCATATGGATTTTTGGTCCAGATCCATCATTGTTTGAGTCCACAGTGCTCTCTGGATGTAGGTGAACTACAACTCCCAAACTCAAGGTCAATGCCCAGCAAACCCTTCCAGTGTGTTCTGTTGGTCATGGAAGTCCTGTATGCCATGTTTGGTTCAATTCCATCATTGGTGGAGTTCAGAATGCTCTTTGATTGTAGGTGAACTATAAATCCCAGCAACTACAACTCCCAAATGTCAAGGTCTATTTCACTTAAACTCCATCTGTGTTCATATTTGGGCATATGGAATATTCGTGCCAAGTTTGGTCCAGATCCATCATTGTTTGAGTCCACAGTGCTCTCTGGATGTGGGTGAACTATAATTCCCAAACTCAAGGTCAATGTCCACCAAACCCTTCCAGTTTTTTCTGTTGGTCATGGGAGCCCTGTGTGCTAAGTTTGGCCCAATTCCATCATTGGTGGAGTTCAGAATGCTCTTTGATTGTAGGTAAACTATAAATCCCAGCAACGACAATTCCCAAATGACAAAATCAATTTTTTTTGAGTGGAGGACATAAATTGGACTGTTGGGTGTCTTGTGTCCAAATTTGGTGTCAATTCCCCCAGTGGTTTTTGAGTTCTGATGGTAGCACAAACTAACATTACATCTTTATTTATATAGATAGATGGAATGGAATGACCGTGTCACAAAAGGTTGCATATATAAAAAGCGTGTTGGCAACAAGAACATTTGGAAATCCCTGCCCTCGAGTGTTCCTACCCAAGCTGCCTGGGTGTCATGCTTTACCTAGAACGTCGGGCCTGTCGTCGATCAAGACGTCTCCGGAGACCACCGTCTTGTCCCGGGTGAGGACAATCTGCTCCAGAAACTCCGGGCCCAAATGCTTCTCCACCCAGGCATACTGGAAAGCAGAAAGAGGAAGGAGGAAGGGCGATGGTAACCACAGACGGGCCAAGATTGGGAAAGGATGGCTTCGCTTTCCCAACAATGTCACAAACGGCAGACCACAGTGACTCATAGCAACAGACAAAGTCAGAGGAAGAGGTCATTAATGCTTCGATGCTGAGCCAAGGTGAGAAATGGAAGGCTTTTCTGATAAATCTGCGCCACCAAATCGGAAAACAGAGACCGCTTGAAATATTTATTCCTCTATGCTCAGAAGGGAACAAACCTCTCCACTTCTATCCTGAGCATAAATCCCTTAGGGTTGCTGTGAATTTTCCAGGCTGTCTGGCCATGTTCCAGAAGCATTCTCTCCTGACGTTTCGCCCACATCTATGGCAGGCATCCTCAGAGGTTGTGAGGTCTGTTGGAAAACAGGCAAGTGGGGTTTATATATCTGCGGAATAATGTCCAGGGTGGGAGAAAGAACTCTTTTCTGCTTGAGGCAAGTGTGAATGTTGCAGTTGGCCACCTTGATTACGACAACAAGAAGAAGAACTGTATTTTTCTACCCCGCCTCCATCTCCCCGAAGAGACTTAGGGCAGCTTACATGGGGCCCAAGCCCAAGGCAGAATACAATCAAAAGCAAAGCAAAAACAATTAAAACAGCATAAAACAGCATAAAACAACATAACAATAAAACAACATAACAATAAAACAGCATAAAACAACAAAACAATCAGGGCCAGCTAACACCTCCCAACAAAGGATTCCCCCAGGCAGGAAGCAGCCGGGTTTTGAACCTGCAAGGCCGTTCAGTGTAATTTATTGCTAGCAATGAATTATACTGAACGGCCTTGCAGGTTCAAAGCCCGGCTGCTTCCTGACTGGGGGAATCCTTTGTTGGGAGGTGTTAGCTGGCCCTAATTGTTTCCTGAAAGTTTCAACAGAAAGGAGGAAACCATGAAAATGAGCAAAATCTGGATACCAGTATTTTTAAAAAATCAGGAGAGTAAATAACAATTATAAAACAGGGAATTCCAGACAAGAATCAATAGGGCCAGCTAACACCTCCCAATTGGCCACCTTGATGAGCATTTAATCATTTCCCAACAAAGGTTGTGACGTCTTTGGGGTCTATATACCTGTGGAATAATGTCCATGGTGGGAGAAAGAACTCTAGTCTGTTGGAGGCATTAAATATTGAAATTGGCAACCTTGATTAGCATTGCAGCTTCAAAGTCTGGCTGCTTCCTGCAGGAGGATCACTTCCTACAACTGGAAGGGGAATTCCAGGCAGGAAACAATCAGAGCCAGCTAACACCTCCCCACCAGGGATTCCCCCAGGCAGGAAGCAGCCAGGCCTTGAAGCTGCCTGCTATTTAATGCTAACCAAGCTGACCACTTGCAACATTGACACCTGCCTCAAACAGATAACAGTTCTTTCTCCCACCCTGGGCATTATTCAACAGATATATCAACCTCACTTGCCTAGTTTCCAACAGACCTCACAACCTCTGAGGATGCCTGCCAATTCTTGTCTGTTGGAGGCAAGTGTGAATGTTGCCAGCTTGATTAGCATTGAATGGCTTTTGTAGCTTCAAAGTCTGGCTGCTTCCTGGTGAACCAACCTGGACACAGCGTATTATTTGAGAACACAGAAATGCTGGACCACTCTCACAACCACCATGTCAGGCGACACAGAGAAGCCACTGAAATACACAAGCATGTGGACAATTTCAACAGAAAGGAAGAAACCATGAAAATGAACAAAATCTGGCTACCAGTATTAACAAAACTCTACAATCAGGACAGTAAATAAAGAACAACACTGAAAAAATATTCCAGACAGGAAACAATTAGGGACAGCTAACACCTCTCAACAAAGGATTCCCGCAGGCAGGAAGCAGCCAGGCTTTGGAGCTGCAAGGCCATTCAATGCTAATCAAGCTGGCCAATTGCAACATTCACACTTGCCTCAAGCAAATAAGAGTTCTTTCTCCCACCCTGGACATTATTCCACAGATATGTAAACCCCACTTGCCTAGTTTCCAACAGACCTCACAACCTCTGAGGATGCCTGCCATAGATGTGGGTGAAATTTCAGGAGAGAATGCTTCTGGAACATGGCCATACAGCCTGGAAAACTCACAGCAACCTAGTGATTCCGGCTATGAAAGCCTTCAACAACACATATATCCCTTACCTTTTCATAGGGGCAATAACGATATTTCTTGATGGGACTTGTGCATATAAAGACATCGGTCCTGTGTGGACAGAAAGAAAAAAATATCATCGGCTATTGTTAATTTTTTTTATGTGTCAGGAGCGACTTGAGAAACTGCAAGTCGCTTCCAGTGTGAGAGAATTGGCTGTCTGCAAGGACGTTGCCCAGGGAACACCCGGATGTATTACCCGCCAATAATAATAATAATAATAATCTTTATTTATATCCCGCCACCATCTCCCCAACGGGGACTCGGGGTGGCTTACATGAGGCCAAGCCCAGACAACATATTATAAAACCAAAAACATAAGCAACAAGAAACAACAGCATGGGAAGCTGGAGCTGACAGATGGAAGCTCACCCTGCTTCTCAGATATTGTGATATTAAAATACGATCAACGTTAGATACCGCTTGCTTCACTTTGGACGCATCTACACTGCAAAATGAATGCAGTTTGACACCAGTTTAACTGCCATGGCTTAATGCTATGGAGTCCTGGGAACTGCTTCACAACAACAACAACAACAACAACATCAAATATAATACTATTAATAACATAATAATTATGTCAAGCTGTATTAATTCTATAGTGTATAGTATGGTATAGTATTTATAGTATGGTATATAATATAGTATAATATAATATATATAGTATAGTATAGTATAGTATAGTATAGTATAGTATAGTATAGTATAGTATAGTATATATTGGATTTCCTTAGAAAATGGCACGGCACTCACTCTTCCAACTTTGCCATTTGCTTGACTGCTTCCACGGCGCCTGGGATCGGGTCCAATTCGAGGAAGAAGTCCTTGGACTCCCAAATGCTGATCGCCTTGTCCTGCAAAGGCCAGAAAGCAACTGTACATAACCAAGTATCATAGAATCCTAGAGTTGGAAGAGACCTCATGGGCCATCCAGTCCAACCCCATTCTGCCAAGAAGCAGGAATATTGCATTCAAAGCACCCCTGACAGATGGCCATCCAGCCTCTGTTTAAAAGCTTCCAAAGAAGGAGCCTCCACCACACTCCGGGGCAGAGAGTTCCACTGCTGAACGGCTCTCACAGTCAGGAAGTTCTTCCTCATGTTCAGATGGAATCTCCTCAGTCAAAAGCAAAGAGGAAAACTAACATATGTATTCTGCATCAATTAGCGGGTTGGACTAGATGACCCATGAGGCCCCTTGTTCCAACTCTGTGGGTGCATCTCCAATGTAGGGTTGATGCCCTTCGGCGCCACTTGAGCTGCTCAGTGCTATGGAATACTGGGATTTGTAGTCTGGAGAGTCCCAGCACTCTTTGGCAAAGAAGGCTGAAAACCCAGTAGAACTAAAACTCCCACTATTCCATAGCACTGAGCCATGGCCCTTCAAGTCTAAATTGCAGAGGCAAAATCCCAAAAGCTTTCTCTGCCTTGCCCAGCTACAAATCCCATGGTTCCATAGCATTGTGTCATGGCTGTTAAGGTGGGCCCAACTGTATTCTTTCCACAGTATATAATCGGTACACTTAAAATGGAATCAGGCTGTATTAATTCAAGTCACCCAAAATTTAGAGGTTTCCTGCTGTTTACTGTAAAGCAATTATTTCCCTTTTATCTCCCAATGCAGAAAACTATTGTGCAGAAGGGAGATTCTTTGAGCCCAGGTTGTACAGCTCCTATTGCATCAATTCCCAAAAGTAACTACTTAGTAACTCGTTACAAGTAACAATTATGGGAGATTCTTTGGGCCCAGGCTGAGCTGCCCCTATTGCTGCAACCTCCAAAAGTAACTACTTAGTAACATGTTACAAGTAATATAGTTACCTCTCATGCAGGAGAGAAACTCTTAGGGCCCAGGCTGAGCTGCCCCTATTGCTGCAACTCCCAAAAGGAACTACTTAGTAATATGTTACAAGTATCGTAGTTACTTCTCATGCGGGAGAGAGATTCTTTGGGTCCAGACTGAGCTGCCCCTATTGCAACCTCCAAAAGTAACTACTTAGTAACATGTTGCAAGTAACATAGTTACCTCTCATGCAGAAGGGAGATACTTTGGCCCCAGGCTGCAACTCCCAAAAGTAACTACTTAGTAACTGGTTACAAGTAACATAGTTACCTCTCATGCAGGAGGGAGATTCTTTGGGCCCAGGCTGAGCTGCCCCTATTGCTGCAACTCCCAAAAGTAACTACTTAGTAACATGTTACAAGTAACATAGTTACCTCTCATGCAGGAGAGAGACTCTTTGGGCCCAGGCTGAGCTGCCCCTATTGCTGCAACTCCCAAAAGTCACTACTTAGTAACATGTTACAGTAACATAGTTACCTCTCATGCAGGAGAGAGACTCTTTGGGCCCAGGCTGCACTGCCCCTATTGCTGCAACTTCCAAAGTAACTACATAGTGAATCATTACAAGTAATGTAGTTAACTCACACAGGAGCTAGATTCTTTGGGCCCAGACTGAACTCCTCTTATTGCCACAACCCCCAAAAGTAACTACTTAGTGCAGGAGGGAGATTCTTTGGGCCCAGCCTGTGCTGCCCCTATTACTGCAACCCTAAAAAATAACTACTTAGTGACTCATTACAACATAGTTAACTCACGCAGGAGGTATATTCTTTGGGCCCAGACTGAGCTACTCCTATTGCTGCAACCTCCAAAAGTAACTGCTTAGTAACTTGTTACAAGTAACAACATTACCTCTCATGCAGGAGGGAAATTCTTTGGGCCCAGGCTGAACTACCCCTATTCCTGCAACCCCCAAAAGTAACTACTGAGTAACTTGTCATAAGTAACGTCATTAACACTCATGCAGGAAGTAGATTCTTTGTGCCCAGGCTGAGCTACCCCTATTCCTGCTACCCCCAAAAGTAACTACTTAATAACTTGTTATAAGTAACATTGTTACCTCTCATGCAGGAGGGAGATTCAAACCCCCAAAAGTAACTACTTAGTAACTCGTTACAAGTAATGTTGTTAATGCTCATGCAGGAGAGAGATTCTTTGGGCCCAGGCTGTGCTGCCCCTATTGCTGCAGTGCCCAAAAGTAACTACTTAGTAACTTGTTACAAATAACATAGTTACCTCTCATGCAGGAGGGAGATTCTTTGGGCCCAGGCTGAACTGCCCGTATTGCAGCAACCCCCAAAAGTAACTACTTAGTAACTCATTATAAGTAACATAGTTACCTTTCATGCAGGAGGAAGATTCTCTGGGCCCAGGCTGAGCTACCCCTATTCCTGCAAACCCCCCCCCCCCAATAACTACTTAGTAACTCGTTACAAGTAACAAAGTTACTTCTCATGCAGGAGGGAGATTCTTTGGGCCTGGGTCGAGCCGCCTCTATTGCAGCCACCCCAAAAGTAACTACTTAGTAATTCATTACAGGTAATGTTAACGCTCATGCAGGAGGGAGATTCAGACTCACGCTGAGCTCGGGCTCGATCTGTCCATATTGTTCGGAGACCCAGAATCCGCGCCGGTCCTCCAAAGGGATGCAAGGCATGTCTGGGAATCTGGCTTGGAATTTCTTCAAGAAGCCCCCTTCAAAGTCGGCTAAGACCCCGTCCATGTCGACCAAGACCCGGAGCCGCCTGAGGCCGGGGCTGCAGGAAGAGGAAGACCACCGAAAGAAGCCCCCGAAAGCGAGGAAAGGGGCGCAGCAGCCCCGCTGTGGGTGCAAGAAGGCGCTGCCTAGGAAAAGCATGGCCTGTTTTTTGGGGGGTGCAAGCAAGAAAAATGGGGGGCACCCTTAGGGCAGAAGGAGGGCACCATCAGCCTCTAAGGAAGCCATACGAATAGGAAGTCCCAATGGCAGCCCCTTCTTTGCATTGCAGCCCCCACAGTGGGGGGCACCGTGGGGTCCACTAGTCGGCAACGGATGGATGGATGAATAATTATTTTTGGTCCTTTGCAGCATTTTTGGTTGCAATACTTTGCAGCATCTCTGTCGCCTCTTGCTGCAGTGTCCTACGCAGCCGCCGAAGATGCCTTCTGCTCTTAGCCAGGGATCCTTGGGGTTGGCCCAAATTGACCCCCAAAAGGACAGATTCCCCCCCAAACTGGACCTCGGAAGGGCTGTGGTTTCCTATGGTTTGCAAAGAGGACTGAAAAGGGACCCACCTTCAGGGTTTTGCTAAGGTTTCCCCCCAAATTACACCCCAAAAGAGACAGGGTTCCAGGGGTTTGCAATCGCTGCACCCCAAAAGGGATAGACTTCACAGATTGCACCCCATAAGAGGCTGGCTTCATAGGGTTTGAAAAAAAGTAATTGCACCCTGAAAGGAATTGAATTCCAGGAATTTGCACCCCAAAAGGGATACCTTTCCTAGATTGCACCCCAAAAGAGGCTGATTTAATAGGGTTTGAAAAAATGCACCCCAAAAAGACAACTTCCAAGGGTTTGTGCACTAATTGCACTCCAAAAGGAACTGAATTTCAGGAGTTTGTACCCCAAAAGGGATGGGCTTCCCAGATTGCAACTCAAAAGGGACTGATTTCCTAGGTAACTCCTAGGTAGGGTTTGCAATAATTGCACCCCAAAAGGGACTGACTTCCCAGATTAAACCCCAAAAGGAAATGATTTTCTGGTAGCTTGCAATAATTGCACCCCAAAAGGGACTGGTTTCCAGGGGTTTGCAATAATTGCACCCCAAAAGGGTCTCACTTTCCAAAAATTGCACCTCAAAAAGGACTGATTTCCTGGGGGTTTGCAACAATTGCACCCCAAAAGGGGCAAGACTGCACCTCAAAAGAGACTGAGTGTCAGGGGTTTGCAAGAATTGCTCCCCAAAAGGGACTTTCCAAAAAAGGGATGTTTCAAAAATGACACCCCAAAAGGAACTGACTTCCCAGATTGCACCCTAAAAGGGACGGATTTCCTAGGGGTTTGTGATAATTGCACCCCAAAAGGGTCTCACTTTCCAAAAATTGCACCCCAAAAGGGACTGATTTCCAAGGGTCTTCAATAATTGCACCCCAAAAGGGATTGACTTCCCAGATTGCACCCCAAAAGAAACGGATTTCCTGGGGGTTTGCAATAATTACATCCCTAAAGGGGCAAGATTGCACCCCAAAAGGGACTGACTTTCAGGAGGTTGCAAGAATTACTTCCCAAAAGATACTTTCCAAAATAGGGAGTTTCCAAAAATTGCACCCCAAAAGGGACTGACTTCCCAGGTTGCACCCCAAAGGGACTGATTTTCTGGGGGTTTCCTGATAAATGCTCCCCAAAAGTGACTCAATTTCCAAAAATTGCACCCTAAAAAAGACTGAATTCTGATTGCACCCCAAAAGGGACTGAATTCTCAGATTGCACCCCAAAAGGGACTGATTTCCTGGGAGTTTGCAATAATTGCACCCCAAAAGGGCAAGATTGCACCCCAAAAGGGACTGATTTCCTGGGGGTTTGCAATAATTGCACCTCAAAGGGGGCAAGATTGCACCTCAAAAGGGACTAACTTCCAGGAGTGTGCAATAATTGTACCCCAAAAGGGGCTCACTTTCCAAAAACTGCACCCCAAAAGGGACTGACTTCCTGGAGGTCTGTGATAATTGCACCCAAGGAGACCCACTTTTCCAAAACTGCACCCCAAAAGAGTGATTTTCAGGGGTCTACAATAATTGCACCCCAAAAGGCATTGACTTCCCAGATTGCACCCCAAAAGGGGCTGATTTCCTGGGGGTTTGCAATAATTGCACCTCAAAAGGGGCAAGATTGCACCCCAAAAGGGACTGACTTCCAGGAGGTTTCCAAAAACTGCACCCCAAAAGGCATTGACTTCCAAGATTGTACCCCTAAAGACTGATTTCCTGGGGGTTTGCAATAATTGCACCTCAAAAGGGGCAAGATTGCACCCCAAAAAGGGACTGACCTCCTAGATTGCACCCTAAAAGGGACTGACTTCCAGGAGTTTGCAATAATTGCACCCCAAAAGGGGCTCACTTTCCAAAAACTGCACCCCAAAAGGGACTGACTTCCTGGGCTTTGCTAAGATCACATCCTAAAAGGAACTGACCCCTTGCACCCCCCAAAAGGCCCGCCTTGGCCCGCCTTACTGCTCCATTCCTGCTTTCCTTTCTTCTTTGCCTCCTTCCTTCTTTGCCAAGGACTTCCCAGAGAAGAGAAGGATCCGCACCATACCGCTAGACCCCTTCCATACCGCTTTAAATGCCCAGGGCCCCCTTTTTCTCTCTCTCCTGGAGGAGCCTGGGATTTGTAGTCCGGGGCGGGGCTTGGCCTGATCTTCCAGGGAGCCTTTTAACTCCCTCGGAACTCCCTCTCCCAAGGTCAACGGCAGTCGAGCTTTCAGATCTCGAGAGTGTCGTTCAAGGCAAGGGCGCTAGAGGGCGCAAGGAACCACACAGCCCAGCTCCAAAGGGGAATCCAAGGGCTGTTACTGCAATGCAGAGAATATATTTTGCTGCAGAGGCAATGGGACCAAGTTTTTTCTTTTTTAATTTCCTTTTTAAAAACCATAGCCACAATTAAAGGGAGATGTTGACAAGCTGGAATGTGTCCGGAGAAGGGCGTCTAAAAGGATCAAGGGTCTGGAGAACAAGCCCTATGAGGAGCGGCTTAAAGAGCTGGGCATGTTTAGCCTGAAGAAGAGAAGGCCTATTCCACACCTGGAATATTGTGTCCAATTCTGGGCACCACAATTCAAGAGAGATATTGACAAGCTGGAATGTGTCCAGAGAAGGGTGACTAAAAGGATCAAGGGTCTGGAGAACAAGCCCTATGAGGAGCGGCTTAAGGAGCTGGGCATGTTTAGCCTGAAGAAGAGAAGGCTGAGAGGAGACATGACAGCCATGTATAAATATGTGAGAGGAAGCCACAGGGAGAAGGGAGCAGGCTGATTTTCTGCTGCCGTGACTAGGACGCGGAACAATGGCTTCAAACTACAAGAAAGGAGATTCCACCTGAACATTAGGAAGAACTCCCTGACTGTGAGAGCTGTTCAGCAGTGGAACTCTCTGCCGCGGAGTGTGGGTTCAAACTACAAGAAAGGAGATTCCACCTGGACATTAGGAAAAACTCCCTGACTGTGAAACCTATTCAGCAGTGGAACTCTCTGCCGCGGAGTGTGGGTTCAAACTACAAGAAAGGAGATTCCACCTGAACATTAGGAAGAACTCCCTGACTGTGAGACCTGTTCAGCAGTGGAACTCTCTGCCGCGGAGTGTGGGTTCAAACTACAAGAAAGGAGATTCCACCTGAACATTAGGAAGAACTCCCTCACTGTGAGACCTGTTCAGCAGTGGAACTCTCTGCCGCGGAGTGTGGGATCAAACTACAAGAAAGGAGATTCCACCTGAACATGAGGAAGAACTCCCTGACTGTGAGAGCTGTTCAGCAGTGGAACTCTCTGCTGTTGAATGTGGTGGAGGCTCCTTCTTTGGAGGCTTTGAAACAGAGGGTGGATGGCCATCTGTCGGGAGTGCTTTGGATGTGATTTTCCTGCTTCTTGGCAGGGGTTGGACTGGATGGCCCACGAGATCTCTTACAACTCTCGGATTCTATGATTCTATGATGTATTTTAAATTGCTTTAATGGCCTCACAACCTCTGAGGATGCCTGCCATAGATACAGGCGAAATGTCAGGAGAGAATGCTTCTGGAGCATGGCCATACAGCCTGGAAAACTTATAGCAACCCAGTGATTCCAGCCATGAAAGTTTTCGACAATATATTGGGCTTTAATGGCATTTTGTTGCTATTTCTATTTCACCTTAAGAAACAGACAAGGAATGTATTATCAAAGGGTTTCATAGCCGGAATCACTGTGTTACTGTGAGTTTTCCAAGCTGTCTGGCCATGTTCCAGAAGCATTCGCTCCTGACATTTCACCCACATCTACAGCAGGCATCCTCAGAGGTTGTGAGGTCTGTTGGAAACTTGTTGTTATTTCTATTTCGACTTAAGAAACAGACAAGCAATGTATTATCAAAGGGTTTCATAGCCGGAATCACTGGGTCGCTGTGAGTTTTCTGGACTGTCTGGCCATGTTCCAGAAGCATTCTCTCCTGACATTTCGCCCACATCTACGGCAGGCATCCTCAGACGTTGTGAGGTCTGTTGGAAACTAGGCAAGTGAGATTCATATATGTTTGGAATGATGCCCAGGGTGGGAGAAAGAACTCTTGCCTGCTTGAGGCAGGTGTGAGTGTTGCAATTGGCCACCTTCCTTAGTACTGAATGGCTTTACAGGTTCAAAGCCTGGCTGGTTCCTTCCTGGAGGAATCCAGAGGACAAGGCCAAGGTGTCAGCTGCTATCATGCTGCACGTCACTTCGGGATGTCTATGCTTCACATCACTGGAGAAATTATACTGTTTAACTGGTATTGCGCTACCTGACATCCGTCGGGAAGTAGCAGCCTATAATGAAAGGACCAAGGCAGTGACATCTCTAGCCCATTGTGCTGTCGCACGCTGGGCCTGTGCATAAGACTGTAGACAGGACATAAACTCTGTGTGCCCAACGGGATGCCGGGGCTGCCTCAGATTAAAGCCCTTTGGATTTCCTTAAACAGAGTCTTTAGATTGCTTAAAGATTCAACAAAGTTCTTTATTATTGATGAAAACAAACAGGTACTTTCAAGCTTTCTTAACAGTCTATTGGCTCTTTCTCAATCTTGTCCACAGGGAACAGGCATTCTCTTCTTAACTGTAACAAATGGGGGAATCCTTAACTTCTAATCTGGGCAGTCTGTCTTTGCCTCTGTTGGCGTGGAGCCCCTGCACCCGGTACCAACTACTTCTGACTTCCGCGAGTGACCCTTACCAAGCAGAGCTTTGTAGACTTCCAAGGGAAAAGGAGTTCAGGTTTCGGTGATGGCTGGCTGAAGTGCTGTGGGACCGGATTCCCTCAGCAAAGGAGCTGTGAGGCTGCAAAATCCTCAGCCAAGCTGTGGAGCCTTTTGTCCCCGGCCAAACCGTAGAAGAGGAAGCTTTCTACAGGAGCTCTTGGTATTATGTCCTGCATGGAAAGCTTCTCTGTGTGGACTGAACCCAAACTGGCTCCTATTCCCTCCAAAACCCCAAAAGGGGGCGGGACCAGGGAACCTAACTATAATTGACAGGTGGTTTGCCCTATGATTGCAGCCAAAAGAAGCCACCTATCTGCAGAGTTCCTGCAACAAACATTCAATGCAAAGCAAACAAAATTGGAGCTCCTGGTACAGCTGTACCTGCACACCTATCCTCTGCTTGGATATCAGCCAGCAAGACAATGCCTTAAATCAAGAAACAGCTTCCTAAGATCTACAGAGATATTTGCAGGAACACCTCAGCAAGCGAGAGTCCAAAAGTGGCAGGCTAAAAATCAGTGGCTAAGATCGGATGAGAAACTCCCTCCTGGGCGCACAGAAGACTGGGCAACTTGGAAGGTGCTGAACAGACTGTGTTCTGGCTCTACGAGATGCAGAACCAACTTTAAGAAATGGGGCTACAAAGTGGAGTCCACAACATGTGAGTGTGGAGAAGAGCAAGCCACAGACCACTTACCACAATGTGGCCTGAGCCCTCCCACATGCACAATGGAGGACCGTCTCATAGCGACACCAGAGGCACTCCAAGTTGGCCAGCTTCTGGCCAAAGGACATTTAGAATCATGCCAAGTATTTAACTGTGTTTGTGGTTTTTAAATACATTATAACTGTGTTTTCAATTCGGTTCTGACATGATAAACACTTACTTACTTACTTAGGCGATCCCTCGTTGGAAGAGTAAGATGGTCTTCCATGATGGGTTTCCTTGTGGATTCGTAGGTGGCTGTGGAGCCCTATTCTTGACCCACATCTTCTCCCACAGTGAAGGCATTGGTTTCCAGGTGGAAGGCGGTCCCGGTCGGGGTTGGCTTGATGCGCCTTCCTCCTGGCACGTTTCTCTCTTTCACCCTCCACTCGTGCCTCCTCGAATTCTGCAGCACTGCTGGTCACGGCTGACCTCCAACTGGAGCGCTCAAGGGCCAGGGCTTCCCAGTTCTCAGAGTCTATGCCAGAGTTTTTAAGGTTGGCTACACGATAAATAAATAAACATTTAATTAATAAACATCTAATAAATATTTAGTTGGGCTTGGCCTCACGTAAGCCGCCGAGTCCCCGTCGAGGAGATGGAGGTGGGATATACATAAAGTTTATTATTATTATTACTATTATTATTATTATAAAATATTATTTTAAGCAGAGGCTGCATGTCTATCTGTCGGGAGGGCTTGGATGGTGTCTTCTTGCTATTATTATAATTATAAATATTACTTAATTTTATTTACTTAGGCGATCCCTCGTTTTCCGAGGATGATTGTCTTCCAGTATTCTTGTGGGTCCGTATGTGGCTGTGGAGCCCTATTCTTGCTCTGCATCTTCTTCTGCAGTGAGGGCATTGGTTTCCAGGTGGAAGGCGGTCTCGGTCGGGGTTGGCTTGATGCGCCTTCCTCTTGGCACGCTTCTCCCTTTTGCCCTTCATTCGTGCCTCTTCAAATTCTGCAGCACTGCTGGTCACAGCTGACCTCCAGCTGGAGCGCTCAAGGGCCAGGGCTTCCCAGTTCTCATTGTCTATGCCAGAGTTTTTGAGATTGGCTTTGAGCCCATCTTTAAATCTCTTTTCCTGTCCACCAAATTTCCATTTTCCGTTCTTCAGTTCAGAGTAGAGCAACTGCTTTGGGAGACGGTGGTCAGGCATCCGGACAACATGGCCGGTCCAGCGGACTTGGTGGTGGAGGACCATCGCTTCAATGCTGGTGGTCTTTGCTTCTTCCAGCACGCTGATGTTTGTGCGCTTGTCTTCCCAAGAGATTTGGAGGATTTTCCTGAGGCAGCGCTGATGGAATCGTTTCAGGAGTTGCATGTGACGTCTGTAGACAGTCCATGTTTCACAGGCATAGAGCAGGGTTGGGAGGGCAATAGCTTTATAAACAATCACCTTGGTCTAGACACTATGTACGTATTGATGCATCCCAGAATCACATTTGCTTTTTGAGGTGCCGCATCACAATGTTGGCTCAGGCTTAGGACTCGTAAGACTTCTAGCTCCCTTTTGCATATACGGTTCTCAATCCAGGTACGGCCAAGGTTGATTTCCTGAATGGCTTTGCTTCTTCTGCCTTCCAGGAGCCGAGAAGCGGCCGACCTGGGAGCACATCCTCTTCACGGCATGCCACAACAAGCACTTGGAGCTGCCTTCATCCCGCCGCAGGCTTCACTCCTGGGCCGACGACTGGAAGGCCATCCTGGACAGCAAGCGGCCCTTGTAGTCGAGCCAGGGACCCGGAAGGAGGCAAAGAGTGTGGCTGTCTTTCAATCTCTTTTCCTGTACACCAACTTTCCATTTTCCGTTCTTCAGTTCGGAGTAGAGCAACTGCTTTGGGAGACGGTGGTTGAGCATCCGGACAATGTGGCCGGTCCAGCGGAGTTGGTGGTGGAGGACCATCGCTTCAATGCTGGTGGTCTTTGCTTCTTCCAGAAATAATCCTTAGAATGTATTTATTAATTATTTTATTTGGTTTACTTTTACCCCGCCCTTCTCACCCCGAAGGGGACTCAGGGCGGCTTACACATCCAAGGCACAATTCGATGCCCGTAACATACAACAGTAATAAAACAGAATAACACAAATTAGCAAACAACAACAATACATTACATCTAGCCCATTAAAACCGATAAAACCAATAAAATTTCATACAAACCGATACAAACCACTTCTTCCTTATTGCCGGTCAATGTTCGCTATCTCATGGTTCAGAGTTTCCTTTCACATTTATCAGTCCACATATATCAGTCCTGTCGGTCCTATTTGCCTGGTTGTCCTACCTAGTTTGCAGATTGCCCGAAGGCCTGGTCCCACAACCACGTCTTTACCTTCCTCCTGAAAGACAGGAGTGATGTCGATGCCCTGATATCCACTGGGAGTGAGTTCCACAGGTGAGGGGCCACCACTGAGAAGGCCCTGCTCCTTGTCCCCACCAGCCTCACTTGGGAAAGCGGTGGGGTCGAGAGCAGGGCCCCCTCAGATGATCTTAAATTCCGTGGTGGGACGTAGAGGGAGATACGTTCGGACAGATACACTGGACCAGAACCGTACAGGGTTTTGTAGGTCAAAACCAGCACCTTGAATTGGGCTCGGAACTGAACCGGCAGCCAGTGGAGCTGACACAGCAGGGGTGGTGTGCTCTCTGTATGTCGCTCCGTGAGCAGCCTGGCTGCCGCTCGCTGAACCTAGTTGAAGTTTCCGAAAGTCTTCAAGGGCAACCCCACGTATGGCGCGTTGCGTACGTCCTATTATACCATATGTATTGGATCACATGTCGAACACTTCCCAAGTGTCTAGGACTGTGTTATGTATTGGTGAATAATGCGTGCAGATCCAAGTAGGGTGTCCTTTGGCAGCTGACAGATGGTTTGTTGTTGTTCATTCGTTCAGTCGTCTCCGACTCTTCGTGACCTCATGGACCAGCCCACGCCAGAGCTCCCTGTCGGCCGTCACCACCCCCAGCTCCTTCAAGTCAGTCCAGTCACTTCAAGGATGCCATCCATCCATCTTGCCCTTGGTCGGCCCCTCTTCCTGTTGCCTTCCACTTTCCCCAGCATAATTGTCTTCTCTAGGCTTTCCTGTCTCCTCATGATGTGGCCAAAGTACTTCAACTTTGTCTCTAGTATCCTTCCCTCCAATGAGCCGGGGCTTTATTTCCTGGAGGATGGACTGGTTGGATCTTCTCGCAGTCCAAGGCACTCTCAGAACTTTCCTCCAACACCACAGTTCAAAAGCATCTATCTTCCTTCGCTCAGCCTTCCCTAAGGTCCAGCTCTCATATCCGTAGGTGACTACAGGGAATACCATGGCTTTGACTAGGCGGATCTTTGTTGCCAGTCTGATGTCTCTACTCTTTACTATTTTATCGAGACTGGACATTGCTCTCCTCCCAAGAAGTAAGCGTCTTCTGATTTCCTGGCCACAGTCTGCATCTGCAGTAATCTTTGCACCTAGAAATACAAAGTCTGTCACGGCCTCCACGTTTTCTCCCTCTATTTCCCAGTTGTCAATCATTCTTGTTGCCATAATCTTGGTTTTTTTTATGTTTAGCTGCAACCCAGCTTTTGCGCTTTCTTCTTTCACCTTGATTAGAAGGCTCCTCAGCTCCTCCTCGCTTTCGGCCATCAGAGTGGTGTCATCTGCATATCTGAGGTTGTTAATGTTTCTTCCAGAGCGCGTTGCAGTAGTCTATTATAAATATTATTGTTATCATCATCCTAATATGGAAAAGGGCCATAGTTACATAATTGCATTTCCAATTTGATCCTGATACGATGAATAAATAAATAAATCAGGCTCTAATTGCATTTTGTGGTTATTATTGTTATTATTATTGCTGGAGCTACTGTTTTAGTAGGCCTTAGGGCAGGCATGGGCCAACTTGGGCCCTCCAGGTGTTTTGGACTTCAACTCCCAGAATTCCTAACAGCCTCAGGCCCCTTCCTTTTCCCCCTCAGCCTGAGGCTGTTAGGAATTCTGGGAGTTGAAGTCCAAAACACCTGGAGGGCCCAAGTTGGCCCATGCCTGCCTTAGGGCCTTGAAGGAGGCCGTTGCCATGGCGACGGCGCTGTCAAAAGGCGTCGGCGGCGGGAAGTGACGCCACCACGCAGGAGCGCGGGCCCTGATTGGCTGCGCCCGGCGGGCGGCGTCATCGAGGCTGCGTCGGCCGCCAGAGAGGGAGAGTTAGTGGCTGCGGCGAGGCGGGTGCTGCTCTCGCCGCGCTGCTGCTGCTGCCCGGCCGCCGCTTCGGCCTCCAAGATGGCGTCGGCCCTGGAGCAGTTCGTCAACAGCGTTAGGCAGCTCTCGGCCCAAGGTCAGTGCCGTCTCCGCGCCTCCTTCGGGGATGGGAAAGGCCGGGGCTTCAGGCGGGCGCACTAGGCCGCAGCCAGGCTTGACAGCGAGATGGGCAGCTTCATACCACAGATAAGGATCCCCCTCAATTTCTAGCATCGCAGAGAGGGAGCCTCTTTAAGAAATACGTGTAATAAATATAATTAATATAATATAATATTATTACTATCCTAATTTTATTGTCGAAGGCTTTCATGGCCGGAATCACTGGGTTGTTGTAGGTTTTTTCGGGCTATATGGCCATGTTCTGGAGGTATTCTCTCCTGACGTTTCGCCTGCATCTATGGCAAGCATCCTCCGAGGTAGTGAGGTCTGTTGGAAGTAGGGAAAAGGGTTTATATATCTGTGGAATGACCAGGGTGGGACAAAGGACTCTTGTCCGCTGGAGCTAGGTGTGAATGTTTCAACTGACCACCTTGATTAGCATTTGATGGCCTAGCAGTGCCTGGGGCAATCTTTTGTGGAGAGGCGATTTATTTATTTTTATTATTTATTTATTTCAATTACTTCTACCCCGCCCTTCTCACCCCCGAGGGGGGGGGCTCAGGGTGGCTTACAAACGAAGGCACAATTCGATGCCTATATCAAGTTATACAAACATACAAAAACAGTTTAAACAAGTTAACAGATTAAAAACATCAATACATAAACAATCTCATGCTCAGTGTTCAGAGTTCTGAATGTCCATTCCGTTCCATCAATTCCTGCTCATCATTGGGTTGTTCCTTTAGCTGCCAGAATGTCCAAAAGCTTGGTCCCATATCCAGGTCTTCAGTTTTTTTTCTGAATGACAAAAGGGAGAACGCTGATCTAATCTCCCCAGGGAGTGAGTTCCACAGGTGAGGGGCCACCACGGAGAAGGCCCTGCTCCTCATCCCCGCCAGTCTCACTTGCGATAGATGTGGGGTCGAGAGCAGGGCCTCCCCAGAAGATCTTAAACTCCGAGATGGGACGTAGAGGGAGATCCGTTCAGACAGATACACTGGGCCGGAACCGTATAGGATTTTGTAGGTCAAAACCAGCACTTTGAATTGTGCTCGGAATTAGATCGGCAGCCAGTGGAGCTGGCACAACAGGGGGGTGGTATGCTCCCTGTATGCCGCTCCGGTGAGCAATCTGGCTGCCTCTCGCTGGATTAGTTGAAGTTTCCGAGCAGTCTTCAAAGGCAACCCCACGTAGAGTGCGTTGCAGTAATCCAATCGGGATGTAACAAGAGCGTGGACCACCGTGGCCAGATCTGACTTCCCAAGGTACGGGCGCAGCTGGCGCACAAGTTTTAATTTACAACATTTATATGCCGCCCTTCTCGCTCCGAAGGGGACTCAGAGCGGCTTAAAAGTTATATATACATACAATATATTATATTATTAGTATAGTACAATATAGGAATTGTGGGATTTATTATTATTATTATTATCTTTATTTGTACCCCTCTAGCATCTCCCGAAGGACTCGATGCGGCTTACAAATGCCAAGGCCTCAAAACACAACATAACAATACAAAACCCAAGGCAAATTAAAAACAATTAAAGCAATATTAAACAACAAGCAATAAACAATACACCAAGACACAATAAAACTGGGCCTGGCCAGAGTAATGGGTACAAGATTAAAAGTGCTGATGTGACAGGTGATATGTAAGGATTATAGGGTAAGTGCAGTGTGCGGTGTGCAGCAATCTTGATTCTAATAAAGTGCTTATGGGACTTGGTATTGGAGATTTCCTATTCTGGAAAGGCACATCAGAACAGCCAGGTCTTCAAGTTCTTTCTAAAGACTGCCAATGTAGGGGGCCTGTCTAAGATCTTTGGGGAGGGTGTTCCAGAGTCGGGGGGCCACCACAGAAAAGGCCCTGTCTCGCGTCCCCACCAAACGCGACGCAGGCGGAATCACGAGCAGGACCTCTCCGGATGAACGAAGTAAGCACGTGGGTTCATAAACGGAGATGCGTTTATGAGACCCTGTCCCTCATCCCCACCAAACGCGCTTGCGACGCAGGTGGGATCATGAGCAGGGCCTCTCCAGATGAACAGAGGGATCATGTGGGTTCATATACGGAGATGCGGTCACACAGGTAGGCCGGTCCCAAATCGTTTAGGGCTTTGTAGGTAAGCACCTGCATCTTAAATTGGGCTCGGAAAATAAATGGCAGCCAATGAAGCTCCTTAAAAGAAGGGTTGACCTCTCTCTGTAAGGAGCACCAGTTAACATCCTGGCCGCTGCCCGTTGGACCAGTTGGAATTTCCGTGCCATTTTCAAGGGCAGCCCCACGTAGAGTGCATTACAGTAGTCCAATCTAGAGGTGACCAAGGCATGGACCACCCCGGCCAGATCAGCCTTTGCGAGGTACAGTCGCAGTTGGCGCATAAGTCTCAATTGTGCAAAAGCCCTCCCGGACACCGCCGACGCCTGAACCTCAAGCGTAAGTGATGAATCCAAGAGGACTCCCAAACTGTGGACCTGTGGCTTCAGGGGGAGTGTAACCCCGTCCAACACAGGTTGCCACCCTATACCCTGATCAAGTTTACGATCGACCAGGAGGACCTCTGTTTGTGGACCCCTGGCTTAGGCATTTAAAACATAACACAATGATTTTAATTAATGTATAATTTGAGTGTCCTTTGTGGAGAAAAGATTATTACAATAGACTCCAAATATTGTCAGTCTTGGAACATTTATATTAAAGCACTTCTCTGAAGGTTTGTGACTAGTGGTGCATCTACACTAAGATAATTAATCCAGTTTGGCACTACTTTAAGTACCACAGCTCAATGCTGTAGAGACCTAGGAGCTTTAGTTTGTTGAATCACCAGCACTCTAGCAGAAAAGGCTAAAGATGTTGTAAAATGACAACTCCCTGGATTTCAGAGCATTGAACAATAGTAGTTAAAGTGGTGTCAAACTTCTTTCATTCTACAGTTTAGATACACCTATCTACTGTCATTCCTGGTGATTTAATGTTTACATCTTAGCAGAAAATCCCCCATGTGAAGATTTTAGCTTTGAGTTGTTCCAAAATGCAGCACTATGTATGCAATATTTTCAGTCAGGAGGGATTCCAGGGGGGTTGAGATGTGTGCCTTTAAGTTGCCTGTCAACTTATTGTGACTCAGTGAATTTAGGCTTTCTCTTAGACAAGGAATACTCAAGAGGGAGTTTTGCCAGTTCCTTTCTCTGAAATTTACAGATGAAAGCAACTTCTATTCCATGTATGTTTTCTACCCAAGTATGAACAAGGGCTCATCCTACCTTTACTTTATCATTGTCTGAATCGGAATATTATGTCACCTTTCCCGATTGTTTTAGGGCAAATGACTCAGCTTTGCGAACTAATCAACAAAAGTGGAGAACTGCTAGCGAAGAATCTCTCTCACTTGGATACCGTGCTTGGTGCTCTCGATGTGCAAGAACACTCTCTTGGGGTCCTTGCCGTTTTGTAAGTCATGTTTTTCCAAAAGTTTTCATCCTAAATGTCTCTAGATTGTGCTAAATTTCAGGGGGATGCCTTGCATCTTTTTCACAATCCCTTATTTTTTAAATGCTCACTTTTCTCTTTGAATTGTGACTCTTCTGGTATCCCCTTGCCTTTTCAAATCTGTAAGTCATGCTTGCTTTCCGAAGTGAAAGGTTTCCTCCTTTGCTCTGTAGCTTGTCACATGCCTCACTGCCCGATTGAGGCCTTACTGGAACAAATGCACATCAAGCCTGTGTTTCTGTCCTTGTTTTTAGGTTTGTGAAGTTTTCTATGCCCAGCGTCCCGGACTTTGAAACATTGTTCTCACAGGTCCAGCTTTTTATCAGCACTTGTAACGGGGAGCACATCCGATATGCCACAGACACTTGTGAGTTCATTCTGCCCTCTTGCACGTTCTCAAATTTTAGTGAGTTTTCTTCTGCAGAGTTTCACATTTCTTTTCTTCTTCTTCTGTCTAGTTGCTGGCTTGTGTCACCAGTTGACAAATGCTCTTGTGGAACGGAAGCAGGTCAGTAAGTACAAGTTTGGTCCCCTTCCACACTGGATCTGACCCCAGATTATCTGGCAGTGCAGACTCATATAATCCACTTTAAAGCAGATAATCTGGGATCGGATCCTGGGTTATAGGGCAGTGTAGAAGGGACCTTGGTCTTTAGATTATGGCCTCATCTAAACCATCATATAATCCAGTTTCTGAATCCAGGGGTGAAGACTCATAATTCAGTTCAAATCAGATAACCTGGATTTAGGACCAGATTATTTGGCATTGTAAATCCAGCCTATCTGCAGTAGTGGGTCATTCCATGCCAAGTGGCCTAAACTCATGCTCCTGCTAGTTCATTTTATTGGCTGCTAAGATGCAATACTTGCTGGATTCCAGAGGATACATAAAGCAAAATGCATAAATGCACAAATACATAACATACTTTGACCTGGGTAAATTGATGCTTGATAGTTGCATTGCAAAACAAAAACATATCAGGCTTGTAGAGAGGAACTTTCTCTTTCAGATGATACTATTTACAATCATATTCAGGTAGACTCTTCTAAAAAAATAGAAATGTAATGTTCGTTTGTGGTATTAACAGAACTCAAAAACCACTGGACGAATTGACACCAAATTTGGACACAAGACACCTAGCAACCCAATGTATGTCCTTCACTCAAAAAATTGCTTTTGTCATTTGGGAGTTGTAGTTGCTGGGATTTATAGTTCACCTACAATCAAAGAGTATTCTGAACCCCACCAACGATGGAATTGAACAAACTTGGCACATAGTTCTCCCATGACCAACAGAAAATACTGGAAGGGTTTGGTGGGCAGTGTCCTTGGTTTTGGAGTTGTAGTTCACCTACGTCCAGAGATCACTGTGGAATCAAACAATGATGGATCTGGACCAAACTCTACACGAATACTCAATATGCCCAAATGTGAACACTGGTGGAGTTTGGGGGAAATAGAATCTTGACATTTGGGAGTTGTAGTTGCTGGGATTTATAGTTCACCTACAATCACAGAGCATTCTGAACCCCACCAATGATTGAATTGGGCCAAACCTCCCACACAGAATCCCCATGTGGGCCACAGCAACGCATGGCAGGGGACGGCTAGTTTTTAATAATTATCTTTGAACTTCGATATATGTTACCAATTTGTGCTGACAGTGCGAAATTTGAAGAGATCCTACAGGGCGGTTATAGATGCTGTATAGTTGCAAATCTGGCAGTATTATGTCCAGCACATGCATAATGCTTGGTCAAATTTTCAAGTCTGTATCTTCGTTTGCATGGAAATTATTGCAATCTTAATATAGGTCAAAATTTGTCACTATGAGTTGCAACGCATTTTCATGCACATTTTGAGTCAATTTGTTTGACTACATTTTGCATCCATAATGTTAAAATTTATTTCATTGGAATCAGCAGGAAAAAAACTGTACAGGATTTTAATTTACTAGCCATTCTTTTACATTTTATTAGACCCCAAAAATGGCATTTTGTTAAATGTTGTGTGCACGTTGACTGACTACCCTTCTGATAAAGGGGGTCTAGATCAGCAACTTTGCAGTTAGAGACCTCAAATTTTGGAAAACTTAGTTTTAACACCTGACTGGCATGACAGCTAAAATTTGAACATAATTGGATACATGATGGTGGGAAGGTTTAGACTGCTTGGCATGGAATGACCCTAGTCATTGAACAGGAATACTTCATTTAAAGGAATGCATGAATTCTTGGGCTCCTGCATGGAGAAGATGGTGAAATGCTGACAGGGCATAGGGAAAGGCAGAATTACTCAACACCTTCTCTTCCTCAGTCTTTTCCCTGAGCAAAATGGAGCGGGCGAGGCAATAGGGAATATGCAACCCAAAATAGGAAAAGAAGTAGTCCAGAAATATCTGGCTGCTCTAAACAAATTGAAGTCTGTAGGGCCAGATGAACTAAATCCAAGAGTATTGAAGGAACTAGCAGAAGCCATTTTATAATCTCTGGCAATAATCTTTGAGAATTCTTGGAGAACAGGAGAAGTCCCAGCAAATGTTGTCTCTATCATCAAGAAGGGAAAAAAGAGGATTCAAATAATTACCATCCAGTCAGCCTGACATCAATGTCAGGAAAGATTATAGAGCAGATCATTAAGGAGGCAGTCTGCAATCACTTAGAAAAGAATGCTGGGATCACTAAAAGTCAACATGGATTTCTCAAAAACAAGTCATGCCAGACTAATCTCTTTTTTGGTAGAATTACAAGCTTGGTAGATGCAGGGGATGCTGTGGATGTAGCATATCTTCATTTCAGTAAGGCCTTCAACAAGATCCCTCGCGATCTTGCAAGCACACTAGTCAAATGTGGGCTTGACAATACTACTATTTGGTGGATCTGTAATTGGTTAAGCAACCGAACCCAAAGGATGTTTTCCGCCAATTATTCCTCTTCATCCTGGAAAGAAGTGACTAGTGGAGCACTGTTCAACATCTTTATTAATGACTTTAATAATCTTTATTATACATCTTTATTAATGAGTAATGGATCAGGGTTTAGAGGGCATGCTTATCAAAGTTGCAGATGACACCAAATTAGGAGGGATAGATAATACTCTACAGGGCAGGATCAGACTTCAAAATGACATTAACAGATTAGAGAATTGGGCCCAAACTAAAAAATGAATTTCGACAAGGAGAAATGTAAGATACTACACTTAGGCAGATAAAATAAACTGCAAAGATACAGAATGATTGACGCTTGATTTGACAACAGAGTTACATGGGGAAAGACATTGGAAAGAAGAGTTTCATTAGAATCAGAGATCATAGGAGTTCCTTTGGAAGGGGCATTATAATTACAGATTTTCCCCAATATCTGGGGAATGCTGGGAACTATAGTGTACAACATTGGTCTTGGATATCACCCAGGTGTCTTGGGGTCCTTGGCCTTGACGGATCAGTAGATGTCTTCTTAAAATTTTAAGTGTGGCCTTTAAAGGAAATTTAAGAGAGATCTTGTTCGTTTCTCACAGCCCTTGCGAGGAATTGGAATTCTCAGGCAAGCCATAGACAAAATGCAGATGAATACCAACCAGCTGACCTCAATACACGCAGATCTATGCCAGGTAAGGAATTTATAGGCTGACCTTTGTGTTCCAGGTTGGGCTTTAAAGTAATAAGCAATGGAATAATTGTAGTATTGGTGTGAAGTAGTGATTTCTAAAGGTAGCAATAATCAATATGACTACCATGTTTTGAATTAATTGAAATTTATGAACTGGGTCCAGAGGTAGCTGGGTGTGCACTGCATTGCAGAAGTCTAGCCTTGAGTTTACTATCTTTTTTAGATCCTTCAGTTTCCCCTTTAACTTGTAGAGCTGCTTTCTAAAATTAGCTGTTCCCTGAATCATCCTGGCAGTTGGATGCTGTGGCATAAGTCCCCTCCATCTCGCTTTTGCGTCATATCTTTGACTCAGAATGCAGTGGGAAAGCATTGCAGGTGGCCTTTAGCTGGTAATCTAAGCTGCCTCACTTGTGGCTCTCAGTGGCTTCGTGAATCGGCATTAGATTACTTCATTACCTTGAGGAAGATCAATCTGCCTCTTTTTTAATCAGATAAGAGATGTAATTAGAAGGTTGAGAGTGCTCTTGTGCTAGTAAAGAAACAAACTGTTCTGGAAGCTAACAGTTTGCAGACTTATAATTCAGAAGTCATGTTTAATTTAGGTTTCCAAAACAATTGTTTGTATAACAATATTTAGAACACCAAAGTCTGTTATTATGACATTTGCCTTCTGACACTGTAGTTCCTACTCTTTTTCAGGGGAATCTTAGTTAGAATTATTTCAGATTAGAAGGACAAAAAGTAGACAAGTTCTGTCTTTTTCTTCTGGCTGTTATAATTATCACAAGTTGTGTTTTGGTCTGATACGTGATTGAAGCTTTTCTTTGAGTGCGAAAGTGGTGGCTCTCTTGAAGCCTAACCCTGGCCTGTTTTGTTTTTAGCTCTGTTTGTTAGCCAAATGCTTTAAGCCTGCCCTCCCGTATCTAGATGTGGACATGATGGATATCTGTAAAGAGAATGGGGCATACGATGCAAAGCACTTTCTATGTTACTACTACTATGGCGGAATGATATACACTGGGCTCAAGAACTTTGAACGAGCACTCTACTTCTATGAACAGGTAGGGTTTCCTTCTCTCTGGGGTGAAAGAGAGTTCCTTCTTTTTTCTTTTAATGCTGTAGGAAGAGTCTAATAACAATCTATAATTATTATCATATATATTAACGTATAATAATAATATGTTTATATAATAATAGCAATACAGTCATTTAAAAATATTTGCAGAACTTTAGCTTTTTGGGCCTTTCATACCTTTTTTCCAGTTAATTTTTATTTAAGCTTTTAATTATATTATTTACAGTTCATTTCCTCTGGTATATAAATATATTTAAAATGCGCCACATAGCCATAAACATGTATAAAACATAAATGACTCCCTGTTGTCGTTCCAGAATATTTAAATAAATCCTTAACTATATACTTTGTTTTATGTGAGATTTTCCCTTTAGATTTCTTAATAAATAAAGCAGAAATATAAAAAGGGTTTTTAAAATTGTCAGAACCTGTAAAGACCCTATTCTTTAATATTTTTTTTTAAAAAAAAAACAATAAAAATTGTTGGATTGTAAAACATCTGGGTTTCCCCTGGGCAGCATCCTTGCAGACAGCCGATTATCTCAGACCAGAAGCGACTTGCAGTTTCTCAAGCCACTCCTGACATGAAAAAATATATAGAGAGAAAGTTAACTGAGAAATACAGGAATGACTTAATAAAATGGGCCCAAGATCTTGATTATAACATAAATTTAGCAAAAAATGTGGATTAGAGGCTTAAAAGTTAGTCAAGCAACTGAGATTATTGAGAACCCGGCCCCTTCATATCTTGGGAAATACCTACAAGGGAGATCATGTATTTTTTTTATTGCTTCTAGTAGCTCATTGTTTTGTTGCTTCTAGTAGCTCATTGGAGGGAAGGATAGTAGAGGCCAAGATGAAGTACTTTGGCCACATCATGAGAAGAAAGAAAGCTGAGAGAAGACAATGATGCTGGGGAAAAAGGAAGAGGGGCCGACCAAGGGCAAGATGGATGGATGGCATCCTTGAAGTGACTGGCTTGACCTTGAAGGAGCTGGGGGTGGTGACGGCCGACAGGGAGCTCTGGCGTGGGCTGGTACATGAGGTCATGAGTCGGAAACGAATGAACAACAACAAGTAGTGCTTATCTCCTTCTGCCTCCCTTTCCTTCTTCTGCTTTAGGCTATTACTACTCCTGCCATGGCGGTCAGCCACATTATGCTGGAATCTTACAAAAAATATATCCTAGTTTCGTTGATACTACTTGGCAAAGTGCAGCAGCTGCCGAAGTACACTTCCCAGATAGTGGGTCGGTTTGTGAAGGTAAGACTCCGGAAATCCTGTCATGTGTGGTTTGCTGGTTGTGTCCCGTGCTTTCAGATGGGCTCATAAAACTCTTGTCTTAAAAGTTTTATTGACCTGTTTCCTTTAGAGAGAGTTTGCCATTGCCTTCCTCTAACGGAGCAGGAGTCGAACCCTGTCTTTCCTTTACAAGTCTCGTTCAAAGGAAGTTGGAAATTGGCCAGTGCCTTCCTCTGAAGCCGAGAGTCTAAATTACCAATTACGCACCCAGTGGGTTTCTGTGGCTCACTGGGGTTCGAACGAAGTTATCTGCATCTTGGGAGCATTTGTTCCCTGATGCGGGCTTAGAAACTTGACGTGCTTGTTCATTAGATATAATCATTGTTTGGTTTTGGATTTTCTGAATGGTCCCATTAGAAAATGTGCAAGGATGTGGATAAACTACAACTCTGATCATCCCCTGTCATTGCCTCCAAACTTCATCAGTGGTTAAAGTTGGTCATGATGAGTATGTGTACTGTTTGGTCTAGATCCATCATCAGTGGAATGTTGGACAAGTGGGCTTATGTACAAAAGGCCCTCCCCATAAATGTACAGCAGAGTAACTTATTAGCAGCTGCGTGACCGAGCACCAGTAGCCCAAAGTGATAAAAAGAACAAAAAAACACAGAACAATGTTATCTTTTCCTTGCTTTGTAATAAAATACTATGGTTGCACTATTTTCAACGACAAGCTTTCCATAACACAAATAAATAAATACACAGAAGCTTTACACACAGCAGTCTTCACACTGGAGCTTTCTCACACAAGGCTTCTCTCACACAGAGGGTTACCTCACACTCCTCAGGACGACACTAGCTTTAGTCCACTGACTCTGACAGGCTTTGGCCTACTCACTCTCCTCAGGATGACACTAGCTTTGCTCCACTGACTCAAACAGGCTTCGGCCTACTCACTCTCCTCAGGAGAAGACTAGCTTTGCTCCACTGACTCTGATAGGCTTCGGCCTACTTGTTCTCCTCAGGATGACACTAGCTTTGCTCCATTGACTCTGACAGACTTCGGCCTACTCGTTCTCCTCAGGATGACACTAGCTTTGCTCCACTGACTCTGACAGGCTTCAGCCTACTTACTCTCCTCAGGGCGACACTAGCTTTGGCCCACTAACAGGCTTCAGCCTATTCACTCTCTTTAGGACAACACTAGCTTTGGTCCACTGACTCTGACAAGCTTTGGCCTACTCATTCTCCTCAGGATGACACTTGCTTTGGTCCACTGACTCTGACAGGCTTCGGCCTACTCACTCTCCTCAGGACGACACTAGCTTTGCTCCACTGACTCTGACGGGCTTCGGCCTTCTCATTCTCCTCAGGATGATACTAGCTTTGGCTCACTGACTAACAGGCTTCGACCTATTCACTCTCCTCAGGACGACACTAGATTTGGCTCACTGACTCTAACAGGCTTCGGCCTATTCACTCTCCTCAGGACAACACTAGCTTTGGCCCACTGACTGACAGGTTTCGACCTACTCTCTCTCCTCAGGACGACACTAACTTTGGCCCACTGACTCTTAACAGGCTTCGGCCTATTCACTCTCCTCAGGATGACACTAGATTTGGCCCACTGACTTTATTTATTTATTTATTTATTTATTTATTTATTTATAACTTTTATACCCTGGTTTTCTCAACCTCCGCAGAGGAACTAAGGCTAACAGCAGAAAATCAATACACAAACACAACTAAAAACATAATAACATCATAATAAGTTAAATACAAACAAAATAAATACATACAGCCAAATCGCCAAGATAAAATCACTCTAACAGGCTTTGGCCTACTCACACTCCTCAGGACGACACTAGCTTTGGCCCACTGACTCTTAACAGGCTTCAACCTAATAAATCTTTCAATGCTTGACACACATTTTTGTAATTAAAAATACCTAGTTCATTTTTAATATTGAAATGGGTGAATCTCAAGAAGGGGATTTGCTGATGAGCCAAAGACAGAAAATAGAAGAAATGATAACAAAAGCAGGATTGCAAAATGCAAACACAGTCCAAACTCCCATGACTAGATTTTATTAAGCAAGAAGATGGGGAAGATATAAAATTTGTGAGACTTTATCATACATTAATAGGAAGTCTATTATATGCTAGCTGTCCCCTGCCACACGTTGCTGTGGCCCAGTCTGTGTACATGTGTCTTGTGTGTATTTATGTGTGTGTGTGTATTTGTGTATATATGTATATATGTGCTTTTGCGCATACATTATAGTGTATTTTTTTGGCTTTTTAAGTCCATTCTGCTTTGTTTTTCAGTGTTTTATGAGTGATGGCCATTTGTCGGTCTGATAGGTCTATTGTGTCCAAATTTGGTGTCAATTCATCCAGTGGTTTTTGAGTTATGTTAAACCCACAAACAAACATTATATTTTTATTTATATAGATTGTATATTGCATATACTTTGGGAATAATAAGGAGAAGAGTTGCTAAACCAAAAGCAAGTGATTGGCAGGGATGACAACATTGATTAGATATTTAAAAGGGACTAAAAAATATTGCCTGCAGTTTCTTGGAATTCACAGTGCTTTTTGATTGTGGTAGAACTATAGTCCTCATCATTCCCATCACCCCCCCCCCCCCAAATAAAACCCTCCCTAGTCCTTGTGTAACTGAAACAGGCTTTGCGTTCCTATTGCAGCCCCTTAGCAACGCTTACCACGAATTAGCGCAGGTGTATGCAACCAATAAGCCCTCGGAGCTGCGGAATCTGGTGAACAAGCACAGTGAGACCTTCACCAGGGATAACAACATGGGCTTGGTCAAGCAGTGCTTGTCGTCTCTCTACAAGAAGAACATTCAAAGGCTAACGAAGGTGAGGCTCTTTGTATTTTGGCACCTTTGGAGAGTAGTCTGAGCTGTGCAGGTATTCTTAGGTGTTCCTTTGTTTCCTTGGGAATATTGCATAGCTGTGGCATGAGAAATGGCCCATGTTGAGAAATAGATGGGACTCTGTTTGTCCCACAATGTGCCTTTTCCTATGCACCATCCATGCTCCTGGTAGCTCCGTTCAGTGTGCTCATCTCCTTGGGCTCGAGGGAAGGGTTTGCAAAAAAACAAATGGCATTTTAGAACTTTCACGGATTTGCTCTGCTGCTTGGTTTCAGACTTTCTTAACCTTGTCTTTGCAAGACATGGCAAGTCGAGTGCAGTTGTCAGGGCCCCAGGAAGCAGAAAAATACGTCCTTCATATGGTAAGTGTGTTTTTTTTTATGGGACCCATTTTTAAAATGGCAGAATGAAATGTAAAGTCAAACCACTCTTTGATAGATACTGCACTTCAAGTATTTATGTTAAAAGCAATGGCTCAGTCCAGACACAATGGATCCTGGCTCATTGTGCTCACAGCATGTTCTAGTAAAAGTTTACTGTTAGTCTATAGACACTTTTGGCTCAGAGAGAAGAGTTGGTTTTCTTTTAAAAGTTGTCAGTTAGGATGAGTAAATGGAAAGGGCCCCCTGGTTGCAGGGATGTGTTTGAAATGGGACCTTTGCTGTCTAGGCGAGGTTGCTAATGAAGGTTTTAGTGTCAGAGATGCTTAAATCTTTTCCCCTCCACAGATAGAAGATGGTGAAATTTTTGCAAGTATTAACCAGAAAGATGGCATGGTCTGTTTCCATGATAATCCAGAGAAATATAACAACCCAGCAATGCTTCACAACATAGATCAAGAGGTAAAAGGATGTTTTATATTTTCTCTGTGCTTTATTTTCCATGAACTACAGAGTGCAGTGCCAGGCAGGGATTTGCTTGCTACAGTGGCAATATCATATCTGGTTGAAATTACAGAAAGTTTTAAATTACAGCTCAGTGTTAGTCAGAAAGGCAAGTCCTCGATTGAATGGATCTTGTGCTGAGATTTAATTATTGTATATACTTGAATATCAGCTGAGCTTTTCAGCCTCTTTTAGGCTGAAAAAGCCCCCCTTGGCTTATACTCGAGTCAAAGTTATTTATTATTTTCCCCTGTTATTATTATTGTTGTTATTACATTTACATTATTTTACTCTTTTATTTTATTACATTTATTATTGTACTTTATTTATTATTGTTATTATTACAATTATTTTACTCTATTTTTATTACATTAATTATTTTACTCTATTATTTTTATTACATTTATTATTGTACTCTATTATTGTTATAATTACAATTATTTTACTCTATTTTTATTACATTTATTATTTCCCTCTATTATTATTACATTTATTATTTTAATCTACTATTACATTTATTATTTCCCTCTATTATTTTTATTACATTTATTATTTTCCTCTATTATTATTGTTATTATTACATCTATTATTATTATTATTATTATTATTATTAAAAAGATACGTCAGCACATTTACATTGAAGAAGGTTAGAATAATGGTTTAATCAGAGTTGGACAGTCTTATCTTAAATTACAGTTTTATGTAAATATTCAAAAACATTTAACCTCCTGATGCTTCTTAATGTAATTTTATTAGAATCTATTTTTATTTTGAAATTGACCAGACGCTGCTGCATTTCCCACCCTCAACTTATACTCGAGTCAACATGTTTTCCCAGTTTTTTTGTGGTAAAATTAGGTGCCTCGGCTTACATTCGGGTCAGCTTATACTCGAGTATATATGGGTACATAAGATTGCAGCCATTGGTGATGGGGAATGGCCCCCAAGGAAGGGAGCAGGCTAGCAGAAGCAAGAGGCTCCAATCCTTAGTCCATCTTGTGAATAAAAAGGAGGCTTGTAAGGTCCCCACACTCCCAAATAACATCCATAGGATGCTATTCGTGCCATTCGACACATTAGGCATATGACAAATATTTGCAGAGCAGTGGTGTCATAGCAAGAAGGTAGGCAGTCTTATGGGCCATTTTTTAAATTAAAACTGGAAAATAAGAGCCTGTTCCCCAAATAGAACTAAGCACAAAACAGGAGCTTGTGCAAGGTTTTGAAGCATAGGATGGGACCCAGATGCAAAAACGAAGCCACTGACTGACTTGCAAAACAAAGTGGTTTTAATTGAATTGAGGGAAGCGGGAGCTTTCAAACATTGGCAGAGTGTCTTAAGCTCAAAATCCCATCATTGTCTGACAATCCTGAGAAATGTGGATCTTCCTAGATGCTGAAATGTATAGAACTTGATGAAAGACTGAAAGCCATGGATCAGGAGATCACTGTGAACCCTCAGTTTGTGCAGAAAGTAAGTGTATTATTATTATTGTTGTTATTATTATTGTTATTATTATTCTGATGATGATGACACAAAAACACAGTATATTACAGCAAATGAGATCTATATGCTGGATTTCGTATCACAAAATCACAAGTCGAACACTTCCCAAGCGTCTGTGTGATGTATTTTTGAGTGATGTGCTCAGATCCAAGTAAGGTGGCCTTTTGCAGTTGACAGATTGTGATTTTGTCAATGTTTATTGTTATTGTTGTTATTACTATTAGAAAAAAAACAAGATTAGTAAACAGTAAACAAGATCACTATGCTGGCTGCTGTATTGGATCACATGTCGGAAACTTCCCAAGTGTCTAGGACTGTGTTATATTGGTAAAGAATGTGTGCAGCTGACAGATGGTAATTTTGTCAGCGCCAATTATTTTTAAGTGGTGGCCAAGGGTTTAGGCACTGCACCCAGTGTGCCGATCACCACTGGGACCACCTTGACTGGCTGGTGCCAGAGTCTTTGCAGTTCGATCTTTAAATCCTCATTATTATTATGTCAGTTTTTCCCGTTGCTTCTCATTAATCCTACTGTTACCTGGGATTGCAAAACCAATGATCCATATTACTATTATTTCCCAGGAGCTTGGATCTTTATGTTTGCCTTCATACTTTCTAAAATATCAGATATTTACTTCCCTCAATACCAAAATACACATACAAATGATCTGCATTGTTAAATGTTACTTGTCATAAGTATTGAAGTCATTAAAAAATACTAAGGAGTTAATCTGAATTCTGAAAGTGCATTACATGGCAGTGTAGATCCAGCCCAAGGGGCTTTCAGGGCTGAGTGGTAATTTGAACTCTAATCTTCCAGAGTCTTAATACTCAGAACTTAACACCATGGTGGCTCAGGCTCAGTTTGACTTATTCAGAATTGTATCTTTTTTTCTTTTCTCTTTTTGGAAATTCACTGAACCCCTCTTTTTTTCCTTCCATAGAGTATGGGCTCCCAAGAAGACGAATCAGGCAGCAAACCCTCCAGTTACTCTTGAAAATCCCATTCCGCTTGCTACTCTGTTCTAGAGCCAAAAACAAGCTAAAGAGAACCACCTTTTAGGATCTGAGTGTTTAAAAAGAAATATCCCTCTCAACCAAGCAAGAGGACTGACTTGACTGTTTCACCTGGACCTGGAGGAAATATATATATATATTTACATATATATAAATGATGTCTTTTCAGTACCGTATGGATTAAACAAAGAAAATGACCTTCAAAGAAATGGAAAAAATATCTCATTCTGTTGTGGATTAACATTGTTTATGCATTAAATAATTTACTTTTTGTTTTATGTGGCTGGAATGGGGCTGCTTCTATAATGCTGCCTGTCAATTTCAACATGTTTTAGGTTGTTGGCCCGATGAAAAGCTAGTCGGTGTAAAAGCATTTCTGCTTTACAAAATCTAGTCTTCTCAACCAAAATCCTTACTCCTCACCATTTTCAGCTACAATAAGACCCCATAGTTTTTGATTTGGGGTCTATCTCTTTTTGCTATGTCCCCAGACCCTCTCTAAAATGTAAAACTTTGAAATAAGTTTCCTCTGGGTCATAGGAAGGCAGAATGCATTTATTTATGTATCATATCAGAAGCGAATTGAGGATACAGTTCTAATGTATTTAAAAACATAAACTTTAAAAATTGGCATCATACTAAATGTCCTTTGACCAGTAGCTGGCCACTTGAAGTGCCTCTGCTGTCGCTGTAAGAAGGTCCTTCAATGTGTATGTGTTAGGGCTCAGACTGCACTGTAGTAAGTGGCCTGTGGTTTGCTCTTCTCCACACTCGCATGTCGCGGACTCCACTTTGTAGCCCCATTTCTTAATGTTGGCTCTGCCTCTCGTGGTGCCAGACCACAGTCTGTTCAGCACTTTCCAGGTCGCCCAGTCTTCTGTGTGTCAAGGAGGAAGTTTCAGTATCAGCCATGGATTAAGGTTCCGGGTTTTAGCCTGCCACTTTTGAACTCTCACTTGCTGAGGTTTTCCCACAAGTATCTTTGTAGATCTTGGCTATTTCTTGATTTAAGACATTGGTGTGCTAGCTGATATCCAAAGAGATGATGAACAGGAGATGTCACTGGCTTGGTTCTTCCATTATTGGCTGCTACCTCTCGCAGGTGGTGCAATACCAGTTAAACAGTATAGTTTCTCCAGTGGTGTGGGGTGCAGACATCCAATGATAATGCGGCATGTCTAATTAAGAGCCACATCCAGTGTTTTAATGTGGTGAGATGTGTTCCACACCAGGCATGTGTATTCAGCATCAGGGTAGCCAAGCGCAAGGGCAGGCGTCATCACTGTGTCTGGTTGTGATCCTCAAGTTGTGCCAGTCAGCTTTCGTATGATACTGTTTCTAGCACCCACTTTTTGCTTGATATTCAAGCAGTGCTTCTTGTAAGTCAGAGCACAGACCAGGGTAACTCCCAGGTATTTGGGTGTGCTGCAAGGCAAGGTATTGTTGAAGGCTTTCATGGCCAGAATCACTGGGTTGTTGTAGGGTTTTTGGGCTTTCTAGAAGCATTCTCTCCTGACATTTCACCTGCATCTACGGCAGGCATCCTCAGAGTTTGCTTCTAGATCATGGCCATAAGCCCGAAAAACCTACAACAACCCAACTCCCAAGTATTTTGGTGTGCTGCAATGCTCCAGTGAAATTTCTTCCCAGGTAATCCTCAGAGCTTGTGATGCTTGTCTGTTCTTAAGGTGTAAAACACACGTTTGCATTTTAGATGGATTACGAATCAGCTGGTTTTCCCTGTAACAGGCAGTAAGAGCACCTCAAGCTTTGGAGAGCTTCCATTCAACCATTTTAAAGCTCCCTGCTTGAGCAGTGATGGCATGATCGTCAGCATAGATTAAACCCTTTCCCTTATGGCAGTGGCTGGTCATTTGTGTAAATATTGAACATTGATGGAACCAGCACACTCCCCCAAGGCAGGTCGTTCTTCTGTTGTATTGTCAAAGGCTTTCATGGCCGGAATCACTGGGTTGTTGTAGGTTTCTCGGGCTATGACCATGTTCTAGAAGCATTCTCCAGACGTTTTGCCTGCATCTATGGCAGGCATCCTCAGAGGTTGTAAGGTCTTCTGTTTTCGCCATCTGCTTCTCTGGCCCTGGAACTCAACCAAAAAGCTCCTGTTTTGTAACAGATTTCCTATGAAGCGGGTGAGGTGGTAGTCCTTTGTGATATAAATTTTTCTCAGGAGATGATTTTATTTTATTTATCGTGTCAGGGGCAACCAGACCATTGTATTACATTTCTAACAGAACAAAACAAACAAACAGACAAAACACAAATGTTTGCAAGCTAGGTAAGTTGATTAAATGTCCTTTGAGCAGTATCTGGCCACTTGGAGTGCTTCTGGTGTTGCCGCAAGAAGGTCCTCCCTTGTGCATGTGGCAGGGTTCAGGTTGCATTGTAGCAGGTGGTCAGTAGTTTTCTCTTCTCCACACTCGCATGTCGTGGTCTCCACTTTGTAGCCCCATTTCTAAGGTTGGCTCTGCATCTCGTGGTGCCAGAGCGCAGTCTGTTCAGCGCCTTCCAAGTCGCCCAGTTTTCTGTGTGCCCGGGGGTAGTCTCTTATTTGATATCAGCCATTGGTTGAGGTTTGAGCCTGCCACTTTTGGACTCTCGCTGAGGTGTTCCAGCGAGTGTCTCTGTAGATCTTAGAAAACTATGTCTTGATTTAAGTCATTGACGTGCTGGCTGTACCCAAACAAGGGATGAGCTGGAGATGTCACTGCCTTAGTCCTTTCACTATTGGCTGGTACTTCCCGGCGGATGTCAGGTGGTGCAATACCGGCTACGCAGTGTAATTTCTCCAGTGATGTAGGGCGCAGACACCCCATGATAATGCGGCATGTCTCATTAAGAGCCACATCCACTGTTTTAGCGTGGTGAGATGTGTTCCACACTGGGCATGCATACTCAGCAGCAGTAGCATAGCGCAAGGGCAGATGTCTTCACTGTGTCTGGTTGTGATCCCCAGGTTGTGCCAGTCAGCTTTCATATGATATTGTTTTAGCGCCCACTTTTTGCTTGATATTCAGGCAGTGCTTCTTGTAGGTCAGAGCACGGTTCAGGGTGACTCCCAGGTATTTGGGAAGAAGGTGATGATTTAGAGTGTCATAAGCTGCTGACAAGTCTATGAAAACAGCTCCTGTAATTACCTACCTTTCAAAACCATCTTCTCTGCATTCCTTGGCTGATTGTTTTCTGCTTGTTTTCTGCTTCCTTGAAGACTAGGACGCGGAACAATGGCTTCAAACTACAAGAGAGGAGATTCCATCTGAACATGAGGAAGAACTTCCTGACTGTGAGAGCCGTTCAGCAGTGGAACTCTCTGCCCCGGAGTGTGGTGGACGCTCCTTCTTTGGAAGCTTTTAAACAGAGGCTGGATGGCCATCTGTCAGGGGTGATTTGAATGCAATATTCCTGCTTCTTGGCAGAATGGGGTTGGACTGGATGGCCCAGGAGGTCTCTTCCAACTCTTTGATTCTATGATTGTAGCCCTTGGATCCCACTTTTCCAGCCTCAACCCCTCCCATCCTTTCAAATTGACACATTTATTTTAAATTATGCTAATTTTCAAGCTATTTCAGCCCTAAACTATACAAAAAGCCATTATGATGGAAAAAATAGAAGCTATAGGTACTTCTCCCCTTTTCCTATTCAAAGCTGAAATACAGTCGTCTGGCCCTTTAAATCTCAGCCCAACCCAACATGGGAGTCTGTTTTGTTTCCATCACATGACTGTCATAAGGCTTGGCGGGTTGTACCATTCTTCTAATGGAAGGGGGGAGGAAAAATATTCGAAAGCCATCCTTTTGGGCTGTTGTCCAGCCAAATGTATAGTCTTATCGTTTCTCCCATTTTTATTAATGTGAGAATACACACCTGCCTTGTAATATGCTACAACCGATCCTTTGAAGGCCCACCCTCCTACTTTGACCCCCCCCCCCTTTTTAGAAATGCAAATGGTTTCTTCCAGTGCAGTCAGTATCAGGCGCTGTTGGGCAGGACCAGAAGCCTGGAAGTCTGCGCATGCGCGGAAGGGAAGAAGAAGAAGGCAGGTAAAGCAGGGAAGTGCCTAGTCCTGCAACTAAAGCAAAAAAGGGCCCGACATCATTGAGGACTAGCAACTTGGGCATCTGGATTGGGCACAAAAGGGAATATATTTTGGGGAAATTTGGCATATACTGGGATGGTGGGTGTGGCAGGTGTGTTAGTCAAACTTCCAATCTGTTGGGAAATCTCCCCCAATAAATAGAATGGGATGCTATTTATACTCATACTATTTATTGAGATGCTTTCTTGGGGTGCACTGATGCCTTCATTAAACCTTGGAAGCTAGCAATAAATTATTATTAATAATAATATTAATAAGCCAGGAAAGGTGGTCCCAGTGGTGATCGGCACACTGGGTGCAGTGCCTAAAGACCTTGGCCTGCACTTAAAAACAATTGCTGCTGACAAAATTACAATTTTGTCAGCTGCAAAAGGCCACACATTATTCGCTGGCATGTCACACAGTCCTAGACACTTGGGAAGTGTCCAGCGTGTGATCAAGTACAAAAGCCAGCATAGTGATCTTGTTTGCTGTATAATAATCTTGTTATGTATCTAATAATAATAATAATAATAATAATACAACAGCCAGCAGAGTGATCTTGTCTGCTGTGGACTCATCTTGTTGTGTTTCAAATAATTATTATTATACCATAATAATAATAATAATAATAATAATAATAATAATAATAATATGCAGGGTGATCTTGTCTGCTGTGGACTCATCTTGTTGCATTTCAAATAATAATAATAATGCTATAATAATAATATTAATATTAATTACAATAAAATGATAATATTAATAATGGTTACAATAAAAATAATAATGTATTGTCGAAGGCTTTCATGGCTGGAATCACTAGGTTCTTGTAGGTTTTTTTTCAGGCTATAGGGCCATGTTCTAGAGGCATTCTCTCCTGACGTTTCGCCTGCATCTATGGCAAGCATCCTCAGAGGTAGTGAGGTCTGTTGGAAATAGGAAAATGGGTTTATATATCTGTGGAATGGCTGGGGTGGGGCAAAGAGCTCTCTGCTGAAGCTAGGTGTGAATGTTTCAGCTGACCACCTTCATAACATTTGAAGGCCTGGCTGAGCCTGGGAAAATACCCTGTTGAGAGGTGTTAAGATGTGCCTGGTTGTTTCCTCTCTGCTGTTTAGTTGTTGTAATTTTAGAGTTTTTTACATAGGGACCACCAAACGCAGCAGCATTGCCCAAACACGAATCAAGGAACATGAAAGGCACTTCTTCAACCAGAGAAGTCAGCCATAGCAGAGCACCTGATGAACCAGCCTGGACACAGGATATTATTTGAGAACACAAAAATGCTGGACCACTCCAACAACCACCATGTCAGACTACACAGAGAAGCCATTGAAATCCACAAGCATGTGGACAATTTCAACAGAAAGGAAGAGACCATGAAAATGAACAAAATCTGGCTACCAGTATTAAAAAACTCAAAAATTACAACAACTAAACAGCAGAGAGGAAACAACCAGGCACATCTTAACACCTCTCAACAGAACATTTTCCCAGGCTCAGCCAGGCCTTCAAATGCTAATGAAGGTGGTCAGCTGAAACATTCACACCTAGCTTCAGCAAAGAGCTTTTTGCCCCACCCCAGCCATTCCACAGATATATAAACCCATCTTCCAACAGACCTCACTACCTCTGAGGATGCTTGCCATAGATGCAGGCGAAACGTCAGGAGAAATGCCTCTAGAACATGGCCCTATAGCCCGAAAAAACCTCCAAGAACCTAAAATAATAATGGTTCCAATAAAAAAGGCTTGGAACTAGAAGCATTTGGGATTCTTTGGGTACAATTGCATGTACCTAATAAGCTCTGTAGAGCACAAGCCTTGGCATAAAATTCATGTATTCTTATTATTATTGTACATATTACTGTAATATAATAATAATAATGGGTTGTAGGTTTTTTCGGGCTATATGGCCATGGTCTAGAGCAGGGGTCCTCAAACTAAGGCCCGGTGGCCGGATACGGCCCTCCTAGGTGATTTACCCGGCCCTCGCTCAGGGTCAACCTAAGTCTGAAACGACTTGAAAGCACTCAACAACAATCCTATCTCATCAGCCAAAAACAAGTCCACACTTCCCATTGAAATACTAATAAGTTTATATTTGTTAAAGTTGTTCTTCATTTTAATTATTCTATTGTTTTTAAGTGTTTTTTGCACTCCAAATATGATGTGTGCAGTGTGCATAGAAATTCATTCATGTTTTTTTCAAATTATAATCCGGCCCTCCAACAGTTTGAGGGACTTTGACCTGGCCCTCTGTTTTAAAAGTTTGAGGACCTCTGGTCTAGAGGCATTCTCTCCTGACGTTTCACCTGCATCTATGGCAAGCATTCTCAGAGGTAGTGAGGTCTGTTGGAACCAGGAAAAAGAGTTTATATATCTGTGGAATGACCAGGGTGGGACAAAGGACTCTTGTCTGCTGGAGCTAGGTGTGAATGTTTCAACTGACCACCTTGATTAGCATATAATGACCTGACAGTGCCTAGAGCCTAATAATAATAATTAGTACCTAATAATAATAATAATATTAGTGCCTAATAATGATAATTTATTACAATCTGCCAGCTGAAGAAGGCCACCTTACAGGGATCTGCATGCACTATTCACCGATACATCACACAGTCCTAGAAACTTGGGAAGTGTCCTATGTGTGATCCAGTACAACAGCCAGCAGAGTGATCTTGTTTGCTGTGTACTAATCTTGTTGTGTTTCAAATAATAATAATTTATTATACATATATATAATATATGGAGGCCTCAGTGGCACAGTGGGTTAAACCGCTGAGCTGCTAAACTTGCTGACCAAAAGGTCGCAGGTTCGAATCTGGGGAGCAGCGTGAGCTTCCACTTTCAGACCCAGCTTCTGCTAACGTAGCAGTTCGAAAACATGCAAATGTGAGTAGATCAATAGGTAACAGTGCTTATGTGTGTGTGTGTGTGTGCAGTCATGCTGGCCACATGACCTTGGAGGTGTCTATGGACAACGGTGGCTCTTCGGCTTAGAAATGAAGATGAGCACCAACCCACAGAGTCAGACACAACTGGACTTAATGTCAGGGGAAAACCTTTACCTTTACCTATTATACATATTACTATATGTACCTTGCAGAAATACAATGTGCCTGCACTTCAGACAATGCAGTTTGACAGCACTTTTAACTGCACGGCTTAGTGCTATGGGACTTTTAGGAGTTATAGTTTCACAAGGCCTTTAGTCTCCTCTGCCAAAGAGGGCTGGGGCCTCAGCAAACTAAGCCTCCCAAGATTCTATTGAACATTAAAATATAATCCAAACTCTTCTTGACTTTTTCTCCTCAGGGAGCTGCAAGATGAATGCCATCGTGGTCCTTTGCCACTTCTGCGAGCTCCATGGCCCTCGCACGCTTTTTTGCACGGAAGTCCTGCACGCCCCTCTCCCTCAAGGTGCCGGGAATGGGGACAGCCCTGGGCAAAGCGAACAAGCGGAGGAGGAGGAAGACGGCATCCAGATGAGCAGCAGGATCCGCTCCCACAGCCCTGCGGAGGGGGCCAGCGCCGACTCCAGCAGCCCCGGGCCCAAGAAGTCCGACATGTGCGAGGCAAGTGGGCCTCTTCCCATAGCTCCCTTTTGGCATCCATTTACCCTGCACTTTGAATCCATAAATCCATGTCTGGAGCATTCTTTTACCTCCTTCTGCCATGTGACTTCTATGTCACGACCAACTTTAATACTTTGACAGGGCTGACAGGTACTGATGGAAGTTGTAGTTTACGCACACCTGTCAATCCCAATGATACAACTCCACCAAACTTGGTATTCATACCCATCATGGACCACTTAAAATAATGGCAGAGTTTGAGGAGGATTGACCAAGGATGATGGGAGTTGTAGTCCACATATGTCCAAAGAACTGTGTCAATTCCATCGACAATAGATCTGAACCAAATTTGGCTCATATACCCATCCATACAAACTTCAAATACTGGAGAACTTTGAGGGAGATTGTATCAGGCTGATGGAAGTTGTAGTTTACCCACACCTGTCAATCCCAATGATTCATTTTCACCAAAATTTGGTACTCATAACCATCATGGACCACTTAAAATAATGGCAGAGTTTGAGGAGGATTGACCCAGGATGATAGGAGTTGTAGTCCACCCACGTCCAAAGAGCTGTGCCAATTCCATCGACAATAAATCTGAACCAAATTTGGCCCATATACCCATCCATACAAACTTCAAATACTGGAGAACTTTGAGGGAGATTGTCTCAGGATGACGGAAGTTGTAGTTCACCCACATCCAAAATATCTAACTCAGGCATCTCTGAGTACCTAAGGTAGTCTATTACACTATGTAACAAAATTTGAACAGTTGTCTGTTCCTGGTTTGAAAGTGTTATTTCCTGTTAAATTGTGCGGTCCTTAGTAATTTATTTATTTATTTGCATCACTTCTATCCCGCCCATATCAGCCCGCAGGCGACTAAGGGCGGTCTACATATCGGCACATTTCAATGCCATCAATACAATACAAAAGCAAAAACAATTAAGTGCATTTAGACAAAAAAGACAGTGCAATAACAATTTAAAAAGAGCTATATCCTCTCATTCCAATCCTCATCCGTTTCGTCGTCTTGGCCGTTCTTGGGTCATTCTCCATCTCAAGCTTGACTATTCCGGGTTTCTGAATGCCTGCTCGAAGAGCCAGGTTTTCACTCTCTTACGAAAGGTCAGGAGGGAGGGGGCTGATCTAATATCCCTAGGCAGGGAGTTCCACAGCCGAGGGGCCACCACAGAGAAGGCCCTGTCTCTCGTCCCCGCCAAGCGTGCTTGCGAAGCAGACGGGATCGAGAGCAGGGCCTCCTCAGATGATCTTAACTTCCTGGAGGGTTCGTAGGAAGAGGTGCGTTCGGATAGAGAACGACACCATCTACACTTAGTAGATCACAAGCTGAACATGAGCCAAGAGTGTGATTAAACATTGGGTTTAATTTATTGATGTTGCTGTACTCCAGGTTGAATTGGTTGAGACATCCTTTGGAAAACTATTGCAAAAAGTGGGGGGTACAAATAAAGATTTATTAGTGTTTTGCGGAAATGGCTCTTACATCTGGAGAGCTCTGTGATTCCTGCCAACAACAGATCTGGACCAGACTTGGCCCCCATGCCCAGCCTTAAAGGAGTGGCAAGGTTTGGGGGGCAGGCAATGATACAAAACAATGAGTATTATAGTTCACCCAAATGCAAAGAACACTTAGAACCCTGCGGATGATGGTTCTGGACCAAATATAGCCCACAGATCCAACATGACCAACTCTAAACTACTGGTAGGGTTTGGGGCAAGGAGAGACGATGATGAGACGTCCTTTCTAGAGGGAATTGACTGTACTGACTTGGTGCTGTTTCCTCAATTAGGGGTGTCGTTCTCTACCAGCGGGACACCCGGGATACGTCAGCCACGACAAGGAGACCTCCATCAAGTATGTCAGCCACCAGCACCCCAACCACCCTCAGCTCTTTAGCATCGTGCGCCAGGCCTGTGTCCGCAGCCTCAGCTGTGAGGTGAGCCAATGTTTCCTTATGGGTTCTGGTACAACAATCTACATTGATTCATATTAAAAAATCTACATTTATTCCAATACAGTCATGTCATCTTATTCTGGAACATCGTCATAATATTATGTCAGTAATATTATTTTATATTTAATTGTATATTAATATTTTTTAAATAATTCATTACGTCTGTCATGTGTTGCAATGGATATACTGGGTTGTTGTAGGTTTTTTCGGGCTATATGGCCATGGTCTAGAGGCATTCTCTCCTGACGTTTCGCCTGCATCTATGACAAGCATCCTCAGAGGTAGTGAGGTCTGTTGGAATGGATGGAATGGATATACTACTAGTAAATGTGTCCATCTGGTTGATGATCTTAACCAGGGCTTATTTTTGGCATAGGACTTACATTACGCACATCCTGCTTGGGCTTATTTTCCAATTAGGTCTTATTTTCATGGAGACAGAGGTGCGAATACTCCAGAGAACAAGATCAGAATGCAAAAGGACCTTAACAGGTTCCAAAATTAACAAAAATTAGAAATGTACCCAATACTTTGGTTCTCCCCTTAAATAACACTGGATCCAGTTCTGGGCTTGAAAACAGTCCAGTGTGAAAGGGATCTGTCAAAAATATTTTTTTAAAAATGGTATTTTTAATTACAAAATTATGAGTCAAGCCCTGAAAGGGTTAAATGGATGCAGTGACTCAGCAAAAACTGTGATTCTATATAAGCAGGTGTACCAGTAGCTTAGTAGACACCAGTCTGAGGTAAACCTCAGTGGGAGAAAGGTCTCAGTCTACGAGAAGGCCTCACAGTGTGAGATGGGCCTTAGTCTGTGAGAGAAGGCCTCAGAGTGTGAGGCAGGCCTTAGTCTGTGAGAGAAGTCTCTGTGCGAAGTAGGCATAAGAGAGGTCTCAGTGGGAGACAGGCCTCAAAGTGTGAGGTAGGCCTCAGTATGAGAAGGCCTGGTATGATTGGTCTTAGGTTCTTATGTTGTTTTGATATGTGGGGTTCCTCTGGGATTATTATGTTGGTATTTGTTTATGGAGGCATTGAATGTTTGCCGTTGTGTGTTGGAATCTGCCCTGAGTCTCCCTTGGGGAGATAGGGCAGAATATAAGTAAATTATTTATTATTATTTATTATTATTATTATTTATTTATGTGGCAGCTGAAAAGGCCAATGAGTCGCCAATTGGCTGAGAAAGGCGGTATACAAATACAGTAAATAAATAAATAAATAAATAAAATGTGATCCTAGGCTTCATCAAGAGGATGACAGTGTCAAGATTGAGGGAAGCCATACAGGATGTGGCTTGACAACAATATATGCTCTTAGTAGACCACAAGCCGAATGTGAGCCAAGATTGTGTTACGGCAGCGAAAAAGGCCAATCTGATTGTTGTCAGCATCCATAGGAATATAGTGTTGAGATGGAGCCCTAGTCCCACCCTCTCTTTCTCCCCTCCTACAAGGTTTGCCCAGGACGGGAAGGCCCCATCTTTTTTGGCGACGAACAGCACGGCTTTGTGTTCAGCCACACTTTCTTCATCAAGGACAGCCTGGCCCGGGGCTTCCAGCGCTGGTACAGCATCATCACCATCATGATGGACCGTATCTACCTCATCAACTCCTGGCCCTTCCTGCTGGGCAAGATCCGGGGCATCATCGACGAGCTGCAGGGCAAAGCGCTGAAGGTACCAAGTCTTTTGATGTGTGTATCTTCAAGCAGTGGAAATTGTTGTATGCATTTGATGTTGATATGTTTAGTTTGCATTGTACCCCACTGAGGGGAGCAGGCAGCCATTACACTATGTAACATGATTTTTGTTCATGGGTTATAAATGTCATTTCCTAATTGGTTCTATCATAAAAACATGGGAAAAGTTCGAATCGCAGGTTTGAATTCGGGGAGAGCGCGGATGAGCTCCCTCTATCAGCTCCAGCTCCTCATGCGGGGGCATTAGAGAAGCCTCCCACAAGGATTATAAAACATCAAAACATCCGGGCGTCCCCTGGGAAATGTCCTTGCAGACGGTGAATTCTCTCACACCAGAAGCAACTTGCAGTTTCTCAAATCGCTCCTGACACGACAAAAAAAATGAGAAAAGTTTACTAAAATGCAAAAACTTTATCTTTGTGGGGCATCCTGTAGCACATTTTGCTCTAGTTTTCCAGTGACTATCTCATCAAGTCTCAACCAATCAAACAGAGTTTGTGGCAGCCACAAAAACAAGGTTTCTGGAATAGAACAATGGTTTTCAAAGTAAGGACCACACAATTAAATAGGAAATAACAATTTCAAACCAGGAACAGATTTATTTTCCAAATTTTGTTAAATGGTGTTGTTATTTTGCTAGCTTAGGTCTTTTACTAGCTTAGAAGTAATCATTGTTTTGTTTTGGATTTTATGAATAATCCCATTATTAGTCAAAAATGCATAAAGATGTGGGTGAACTACAACTCCCAGCATTGTGGACTGATTCCCCCCAAACCCCACTAGTATTCAAAGTTGGTCATGTTGGGTCAGTGAGCCAGGTTTGGTCCAGATCCATCATCAGTTGGGTTCAGAGTACTCTTTAATTGTGGGAGAACTACAACTCCCATCATCCAGGATCAATTCGCCCCCCCCCACCTCTTAATTATTTTCTGGCAATCACATACAAACATAGGTACATACATACATTGATATGAACATATTTTCAGTTTTTTAAATAGATATAGATATATAATATATACATTATTATGATGATTGCGATGCTGAAGGTTCTGGTGTTGTTCATCTGTACAGGTCTTTGAGGCAGAACAGTATGGCTGCCCGCAGCGTGCCCAGCGCATGAACACGGCCTTCACCCCATTCCTCCACCAGCGGAATGGGAATGCGGCTCGCTCCCTCACCTCCCTGACCAACGATGAGAACCTGTGGGCTTGTCTTCATACATCCTTTGCTTGGTGATTATCAATAGCACTCTTATTTATACCCTCCCCAACTAGGGCTCAACATGCATTTTCGGGGGACATTTGACAACACTATGCAACACGATTTTTTCCCTATATATCATTTCCTAATTGGTTCTACCAATTATGAAAATGTTGTTTCTGCGGGACAAACATCCTGCAGCACACTTATTTCTAGTTTTTCAATGAATATCTCCTAGAGCAAGCATGGGCAAACTTTCTAACTTGGGGGCCGCATGCTAGCACTCCCTGCTAAGAGGACCTGCTTCCCAGTGATGGAAGGAAGGAAGAAGGAAAGAGAGAAGGAAGGAAGGATGAAAAGGAGGAAGGGAAGGATGGAAAGAGAAAGAGGGGGAAGGAGGGAGAAAGAGGGAAGGAAAGATAAAAGGGAAGGATGAAAAGGTGGAAGGAAGGGAAGGAGGAAGGAAAGAGGGTAGGAATTAAGGAAAGGAGGAAGAAAAGAGAGAGGAAAGGGAGGAAGGGAAGGAAGGAAGGGTGGAAGAGAAGGAAGGAAGGAAAAGAGAAGGAAGGAAGGAAGGAAGGAAGGAGGAGGAGAATTGAAAGAAGGAAGTGAAGGATGGAAGGTTAGAGAGAAGGAAGGACGAAAAGGAGGAAAGGAAGGATYGAAGAAGAAAGAGGGAGAGAAAAGGAGGGAGCAGAGGGAAGGAAAGAAAAAAGGGAAGGAAAGAAAAAAGGGAAGGGTGGAAAAGCTGGAAGGGAAGGAGGAAGGAAAGAGAATAGGAATTAAGGAGAGGAGGAAGAGAAAGTGGAAGAAAAGAGAAGAAAGGATGAAAGGGAGGAAGGGAAGGAACAAAGGACTAAAGGGTGGAAGAGAAGGACGGAAGTAAGGGAAGGAGGAAGGAAAAAGAGAAGGAAGGAAGGGAGGAAGAAAGGAATGGAAAGAAGGAAGGAAAGGGAGAAGGAAGGGTGAAAGAATGGAAGGAATGGAGGGAGGGAGGAAAGAGAAGGAAGGAAAGACAAAAGGGAAGAGAAAGAGGGAGAGAGGAAAGGGAAGGAAGGAATGACGAAATGATGGAAGGGAAGGAAGGAATGAGAGAAGGTGGGAAGGAAGGGAGGGAAGGAGGAAGGAAGGAAAAAGAGAAGACAGAAAGAGCAGGATGGTGTGAGAGAGGAAGGCCTGAGAAAAGAGCCTGGGTTTTCCCATTCCTGTCCTAATGTCTCAACCAATTCAACATAGTTCATGGCAGCCACAAAAACAAAGTTTTAGGAGAATAACCTCTACTTTCAAAGTAGGGATCAAACAATTAAACGGGAAATAACACTTTCAAACTAGGAATAGAACATTTTTCAAATTTTGTGACATGACATGGTGTTATAGTTGGCCCTCTGTATCCCTGGATTCTCCGTCCATGGATTCAAATGCTCTTTGAAGACACCCATGAGGCTGATATGGCCCTCGATGAAAATGAGTTTGACTTAGATCTAGCCCTGACTCAGATCTATCTTTAATGCCTTCAGGCTCCTAAAAGCTTGTGGCAGCAGACTGACGGAGAAACTATTGGAAGGGGCTCCCACAGAAGACACTCTGGTTCAGATGGAGAAGCTGGCTGGTAAGTCTGGGAAGTCATATCTAACATAAGGGACTTGATGGGATGATTATGATGTACATGGAAGGTGGTCCAGAAATTGCAATTTGGTAATGCATAGTTTTCTCATTGGCCTTGCATTTTGGTGGACCTTATGAACTCAACGGCACTTGCAGACCACAGTTGGGACCAATTATTTAAAAAAATGATCCCGCTGTCTTCTTCTCGTGGTTTTGAGAAAGGTCTGTTTTGATTCTCAGTGGGATTTCAGTCTCCGGGCTCCTTCTCAGTCTCTCTTTTCTTCCCTCTCTTCAGACCTCGAGGAAGAATCGGAAGGCTGGGACAATTCTGAGGAGGAAGAAGGGAAGCCTCCCAGCCAGGCAGAGGTCCAGGAGGGCCGGGAGCTGGTCAAGAGCCCCACGGACCCTGCTCTTTTGGTGGATGGCAGTGGGTGGCACTTGGCTCCGAAGGGTCAGCCAGTCTTCCGATCCCTCCGGCACTTGAGACAGGTCAGGGATAGGGCGATTGACTTGTTCCCTTACCCTGTTTACTCAAATCTAATGCTCTCCTTTTGTGGTGAAATTAATATCAGGAGCGAACCAAACAGTTGTATTCTATTTAAAAACAAACAAACAACCCCCCCCCCCCACAAAGTTTGCAAACTTGGCATTCTATTAAACGTCCTTTGACCAGTAGCTGACCACTTGGAGTTCCTCTGGTGTTGCTATAAGAAGGTCCACAATAATAATGTATTTAAATGATAATGTATTTAAAAACCACAAAATTTAATACAGGGTGAGGCAGCATAACTTTCTTTTTTCAAAACTTAATAAAACCCATTGTATGAATCAGATTTTTAATATATATAATGTAGGCGCATACCTAAAGTTTTGTTTTACGTAGTTTTGAAGATCAGATTAGGTAGGTGATGTCCCCCATTCTCCATTCTCCATACACTGAGTAAACCGATTTCTGACGTTTGTCATTACTCTTGCCAGCATAGCAGGCATTATGTTGGCAATTTATTCCTGGATGTTGGTCTTCAAATCTTGTAGGGTCTTGGACAGTTCACATAAACACGGGATTTCAAAAAAACCCATATAAAAAAGTCACAAGGGGCCAAATCTGGAGAGCGGGCCAGCCACTCCAAATCTGCTCAAAAAGTAGGCCTCAACGGCAAAAGCACACTCCTCACTGTTCCAACGCATGATGGCGACTTAACTGTGTCAGGACAAAACTTTATACTCCCACCTCTCGAACGAGACCACTAGCGCTCCGCTACGTCTAAACCAACTGAATGGCACGCATTTTAAAAAAAGAAGTTATCCTGCCTCACTCTGTACTTGGCATAATGCTAAATGTTCTTTGACCAGAAGCTGGCCAACTTGGAGTTCCTCTGGTGTTGCTGTAAGAAGGTCCTCCATTGTGCATGTGGCAGCACTCAGGCTGCATTGTAATAGCTGGTCTGTGGTTTGCTCTTCTCCACACTCGCATGTCGTGGACTTCGCTTTGTAGCCCCATTTCTTAAGGTTGGCTCTGCATCTTGTGGTGCCAGAGCGCAGCCTGTTCAGCACCTTCCAAGTCACCTAGCCTTCTGTGTGCCCAGGAGGAAGTCTCTCATTTGGCATCAGCCATGGATTAAGGTTCCGGGTTTTAGCCTGCCACTTTTGGACTCTCGCTTGCTGAGGTTTTCCAGCGAGTATCTCTGTAGATCTTAGAAAACCATTTCTTGATTTAAGTCATTGGCATGCTGGCTAATAGCCGAACAAGGGATGGGCTGGAGATGTCTCTGCCTTGGTCCTTTCACTATTGGCTGCTACTTCCTGGCAGATGTCAGGTGGTGCGATACCGGCTAAACAGTGTAATTTTTCCAGTGGCGTAGGGTTCAGACACCCCGTGACAATGCAGCATGTCTCATTAAGAGCCACATCCACTGTTTTAGCGTGGTGAGATGTGTTCCACACTGGGCATGCATACTCAGCAGCAGAATAGCCAAGCTCAAAGGCAGATGTCTTCACTGTATCTGGTTGTGATCCCCAAGTTGTGCCAGCCAGCTTTCGTATGATATTGTTTCTAGCACCCACTTTTTGCTTGGGGTGAAATGACCTCACCGAAATTAGATTTGCATCACACTGTCATCTTAGTGCTGAGCCAAAGGGGAAGCTGCACCTGGAGCTCCTATTTGAGGGACGCCATCTCTAATTTAATGGCCAAGGCTTACTGCTGTGCCATCCTGGGATTTGCAGCTTGGTGAGGCATCAGCCTCCTTTGGCAAAGAAGGCTCAAACCTTTTAAAACTGCATGATTTTATAACATTGAGCCAGGGCAGTTGGAGTGGATTCATTCTACAGCATAGATGAATCCAAGGTTTTCTTTTCCATTGGTGTTTTCAAGAAGGCAGAAGAAGTAATGCCAACTTTTTTGGCCAATTTACAAAAAGTGCACTTTTTGCCGCTGCACAACCTGTACTATTTTGTTCTATTCAGAAAATTGCATTGCATAGACCACACCAGCTCTAGTTTCTGATGCAGAACATATGCCACTCAGTAGTCGCCATCTGCTTGCCCACAGTTTTCTTTTTTTTAATATGATTTTTATTGAGTTTTTTCACAGTGAATTTATAAAATCAAGGAATTGTTAAAAGTAAAAAAAAAGGCAGTTAGGTGGATAATTTGAAAACTTCCACTCTTCTCTATCATGGCATTCAAGAAAAAAATTAGGTGATTCTTCCAGGATGTTTCTTTTCCTGTTTTCCATCATTGATAATTTTCTGATTTTCCCCCCTTTAAATATATATGTATATTTTATATTGTTTATTCTTGATATATCTTGATATATCCTTTATCAAGAATATTTTTGATCTTTTCCTTCTTCCTTTTTAGTCTGTTCATATTAGTATCTTGATCTTGTTTTCTTTTATCCATTCCTTGACGGGGGTCCAGTTTGTTACTTTAATATGTGTATTTCGTGTTCTTGCTAATATATATGTTAGGTGGTCCATATTCATGATGTCCGATATCTTTTCCATCCACTCTTCCTTTGTTGGTATTGCGGTTTGTCTCCAAACTCTTGCCAATAAGAAACGGGCTGCTGTTATTAAGTAGACGAATAATTTATAATTTATCTGTGTTCTTATCCCACTTGCTATTGGTTAATCCTAATAGATAACATTCAGGTTTAAAGGGGATTGTTTTTTTCAGTATTTTCTGGCATGCTTCCTGTACTATTTTCCAGAAAGATTTCACTTTCTTACAGGACCACCACATGTGGTGGAAGGTCCCCTCCTTAATTCCGCATTTCCAACATTTATTACATATATTTTTTGAGAACTTTGCTAACTTGCATGGTGTTAAATACCAAATACCACAGTTTTCTTATGTGCCAGGGCATATTTAATAAGCCTTGGCACTATAAGGTTTTGCGAGACCAGTCGCTCTTGTTGCAATGGTGTAGTAATGGTGAGGTCGCAGACCATATTTTAGTTCTTGTGGACCACTGGTGGACCGCGGACCATGGAACTCTTTTATGTAGCATTGTCCAGGAGTGCACAGGTGCCCAAAGCCATGGAATGAAACTAGGAAAGAAAATTCAGGGATTCTAAATAATCTTTATGTTATTGTGTGGTTGTGTTTCAGGTCTTGGGAGCCTCCCCTTTCCGCATGCTGGCATGGCACGTGCTGATGGGCAACCAGGTCATCTGGAAGGCTCGGGATCCGGACTTGGTCCAGTCTGCCTTCGACGTCTTGCGGGTAGGAACTGTTGGCCTCCCAGATCGGGGCCTGTGATTGGCTGAGCTGCTGTGATGTCACAGAAGCCGGACTTGTATGTGGATTCTCACCTGTCGCTTCCTGTCTTAGACCATGCTGCCCGTCGGCTGCGTCCGAATCATCCCCTACAGCGAGAAATATGAGGAGGCTTACCGGTGCAACTTCCTCGGCCTCAGTCCCCATGTGCCAATCCCTCCTCACATATTGTCTTCTGGTAAGAAGCGTGTCCATCTCTAGCGGTCTGGGCTGAAATTAACATTGTCTGGAAGCGATCTGATCTGTTATAAGAGTTGGTTTCTGCAAAAACACACTGTTTTACCAACAACTTCTTGTTGTGTGCCTTCAAGTTGTCAGTGGGGGAAGTCACTGTCCAACTTCTATAGCAGTCATGGGCAAACTTTGGCCCGCCAGGTGTTTTGGACTTCAACTCCCACAATTACTAACAGCCAGTAAAATACATATATACCAAGGTAAAATCATGTTCAACTCAGTCCGCATATGTGGTCACTCACTTTGGTCTGTAACCAGTCTCAGCCATTATTCTGGGAATGCTTCACTAGCCTCCTGAAGGACAAGAGGGAGGGGGCAGATCTAATCTCGCTCGGGAGAGAGTTCCATAGCTGAGGGGCCACCACAGAGAAGGTCCTGTCTCTCGTTCCCACCACGCGCTTGCAAAGGTGGTGGGACCGAGAGCAGGGCCTCTCCAGAAGATCTTAACGTCCTTGATGGTTCATACCTGCGTGACCGCATCTCTGTGTACGAACCCACACAATCTCTTCGTTCATCTGGAGAGGCCCTACTCACGATCCCACCTCCATCGCAAGCGCGATTGGTGGGGACGAGGGATAGGGCCTTCTCGGTGGTGGCCCCTCGACTCTGGAACTCGCTCCCCAAGGACATTAGGCATGCCCCAACTCTGGCAGTCTTTAAGAGGAGATAAGATAATTAAGATAATAACTCTTCCAGGAGTGGATTTCTCTTCCTGGGGGGGATTTCGCTCACTTTCTGTTGTTTCAGCTCCGTTCTTAACTAGGAGATGTTTGTAAGTCGGATGTTTGTAACTCGAGGATGGCCTACATAGATACTTAGGGGGGTGTTGTCTCTTGGAGCCTACCTGGTCATGAATGACTACTTCTGGATATCTGATGTGATTTTTTTTTGTCGTGTCAGGAGCGACCTGAGAAACTGCAAGTCGCTCCTGTTGTGAGAGAATTGGCGTCTGCAAGGACGTTGCCCAGGGGACGCCGGGATGATTTGATGTTTTTATCATCCTTGTGGGAGGCTTCTCTCATGTCCCCATCTGATGTGATGGTATAACTGGGTTGTCTTTTGTTGTAGAATTCGCCGTTCTCGTGGAAGTCCGCGCTGCCACTCGGTCCAGCCTCTATCCCGTCTTGTTTGACGATGAACAGCCGCTGAGCAAATATGAATTTGTGGTTACAAGTGGGAGCCCGGTAGCAGCAGACAGAGGTAAGCCTTTTTATTACACGATGTGATATTCTGTTCCTGGTTTGAAAGTGTTATTTCACGTTTAATTGTGTGGTCCTTATTTTGAAAGTAGTTGTTATACTCTAGAAACTAGGTTGAATTGGTTCAGAGTCCTCATCCTCAACCTCAGCAAGATGGAGTGGATGAGGGATTAGAGGACATCCAACCCCAAATTGGAAAACAAGTAGTCCAGGAATACCTGGCCACTCTAAACAAGTTCAAGTCCCTGGAACCAGATCAACTACATCCAAGACTATTGAAGGACACCACAATTGAAGAGAGATATTGACAAACTGGAGGAGGGCAACTAAAATGATCAAGGGTCTGGAGAACAAGCCCTATGAGGAGCGGCTTAAAGAGCTGGGCATGTTTAGCCTGAAGAAGAGAAGGCTGAGAGAAGACATGATGGCCATGTATAAATATGTGAGGGGAAGTCATAGGAAGAAGGGAGCAAGCTTGTTTTCTGCTGCTCTGGAGACTTGGACGTGGAACAATGCCTTCAAGCTACAAGAAAGGAGATTCCATCTGAACATGAGGAAGAACTTCCTGACTGTGAGAGCTGTTCAGCAATGTGGTGGAAGCGCCTTTTTGGAGGCTTTTAAACAGAGGCTGGATGGCCATCTGACGGGGGTGCTTTGTATGTGATTGTCCTGCTTCTTGGCAGAATGAGGTTGGACTGGATGGCCCACGAGGACACCAGCAAAAGCATGCGGGGAATGCGGAAGTACTTCATCAGTGTCACAGATGGACGATGAAAGCAACAGCTCCCCTGGCGGCCAGAAAAAGTTAAATAGCCTCTGTGCATGTCTGTATATGTTGTATGTCAAAATTGAATGTTTGCCATATATGTGTACACTGTCATCCGCCCTGAGTCCCCTGCGGGGTGAGAAGGACGGAATATAAATACTGTAAATGAATGAATGAATGAATGAATGTGAGGCTCGCAGTGCTATTTTTCATTGTACTTGACCCTCTCTATTCCACTAATGCAGAACTTTCCAAACTGTGTATTGTGAGAAATAGGTGTGTCACAGGCATGGCCAAACTTTGTCCCTCCAGGTGTTTTGGACTTTAACTCACACAGTTCCTAACAGCAGGGTAGACTGTTAGGAATTGAGGAAGTTGAAGTCCAAAACACCTGGAGGGCTGAGGTTTGCCCATGCTTCGTGTATCAGCTGTAGTGTGTAGGTGTGTTGCGCAAACCTCCGAGTCTATCTGAAATAAGTAACGAATTGTGTTTTAAAAATATATACAAACTTTTTTAATGAGATATGCTGAGTCTTTATACATCCATTGTTAGAATTTATGTAAGTGTCTCTTGTAAGGGGTTGGTTCAACCTCCAGCTTGGTAGTACAACTGAATGACTGTGTCGCGAAAGGATGCTTCTCTAAAACGTGTATCACCAACATGAAATGTTTGGAAAGATCTTCTCTTTGAAATATGAAATATTTGATCCCCTTTGATTGTGAATATATAAGTGATGGTAAGGGGAAGAAAACTAAGGCAAAGACGTGCCATATCAGGAAAAGGCGGAAATTAATGGGATTGTTTGGGGGCTTGCGGAAAACACTTATTTTGAAGTAGCAGTTATATGATTGAGATAGAAATCTGTGTGGTCACTGATGTTGGTGGAAGGAACTTCATAGCTATTTGTCCGCTTTCTGAATGCAGTGGGTCCAACCATCTTGAACAAGATCGAAGCTGCCTTGACGAACCAGAACCTTTCAGTGGACGTTGTGGACCAGTGCCTTATCTGCCTGAAGGAGGAGTGGATGAAGTAAGACTTCTATTGGCTTTGCTGGGTATTTCAAACTCAGACCTGAAGAGAGAACTTTTCAAATAATGCAGGGATAGCCAGCTACTCTATGAGGTTTTTCGTCCTCTTCCACTAGGCCTGGGGTCCTAATATATGCCCTGAGATCTTGCGATAATGGTCAAGAGGTGTGTGTGTGTAGCTGATTAATATTGGTCCAACTGGAAAGGATTATTTGTTTACACATCTACAGATTCTCCAGTGTGATTCTATAGTCAATTTCCAGGCTGTGCTGGAGGACCTACAGCAATGTTTTCCTAATTCTGGACTTCAACTTTGAAGACCAGAGCTTGGGGGACATTGCTCTAGGTCAGGCATGGGCAAACTTTGGGCCTCCGGTGTTTTGGACTTCAATTCCCACAATTCCTAACTGCCTACTGGCTTTCTAGAACACTTCTCTATGTCCTCTGCTGCGATTCTATGGTCAGCTTTCAATGAATGTCATCCACAAACTTGTGCTGAAAGACCTAAGCATTCTTAGAGAGATTGTCTCTCACAAGTTTTTTTTTAGCAATTTCTTCATTCACGTTTTTCACTTTCATGGGGAGGATCCAGTGCCCAACGTGGCAGTCCAATTACAGTGGAACCTATACTTAATAGCATCTCAACATCAATGTTTTGAGTTCAGAGCTGTTGCTTGACCCGAGTTTCACTTTGACATATGAAGTGTTTTGATTTAAGAGGTAGCACTAGAGGGAGCGCCAACACAACAGTCCAAGGGCTTTAAGGGAGCAGCCTCCAGGCCTTGTGCTCTTGCCCATTTGGGAGATTGCTCCCACTTTGCTCTTGTCCACTTTGAGGAATTTTGGGTTATTTGATTTTGTGTGGGTTTTATTCCCGATATGTTTGGCTTATGGGAGGGAGAGAGAGCAAGAGAAGGAAAAAGGCTGGAATGAGTACAGTATGAAGAAATGATGCTTCTGCGTCTTCGCTTTTTGCTTCCTTACCACAACTTTGTGCTTCTACCATTTTAAAGTAGAACTTCTTTTTTATTGTTCCATGTGAATGTGCATTTCTACATTATTTCTTATTTATAAAGTGTGAATATACATGTGCGTGTGTGTGTAACAAAAATGGGGGGGGGGGTCAAAATACATTAATAGCCCTCCAGTGTATTTTAATGGTGAGGTTTTAAGATAAGAGTATTTTGAGTTAAGAGCTCAGTCATTTTTTTAAAAAAATAAATGATAAATCAAACCATACAATTCACCATTTTGTACACAAGGTGGCAGGAAATGTATAAAAAGGTGAAGATAAAGATTTCCGACGGGGTGGTGCTCATCTCCATTTCTAAGCCAAAAAGCCGGCATTGTCTGTAGACACCTCCAAGGTCATGTGGTTGGCATGACTGCATGACGCGCCGTAACCTTCCCACAGAAGCGGTACTTATTGATCTATTCACAGTTGCATGTTTTCAAACTACTTGGTTGAGTGAGAGAAACTGGGCCTAACCACAGGAGCTCATTGTTATTTTTAAGTTTTCCAAGTAGGTAGTTAACGGTTCCCAGTCTTTTAAAAATGTTTTCATCCTGGTTCTGTAGTCTTCCAGTCGGTTTCTTCATTTCAGAGAATTCTGAGTTTTGTCATCCATTCTTCCACTGTAGGTATTGTCCATTGTCTCCAATATTTTATGAACAGTATCCTAGCTGCTGACACCATGTACTGAAAGGTTATCTCATGTTCTTTTAGGATTCATTTGTGGATGAGACCTAATAAGAATATTTCTGGCTAAAAATAATTATTTTATAATATATAATTTTATATAAATAATATTTTATATAAATAATAATTTTAATTTTTAGTGTTTCCCATTTTTATTTGTAAATTTTTGTCCGATATTTTCAAACTTTTAAGTCTCACTGTACATATATTTTGTTCCGTCTTCCACAGTAAAGTGAAGGTCCTCTTCAAGTTCACCAAAGTAGACAGTCGGCCCAAAGAGGACACCCAGAAGCTGCTGGGTATCTTGGGTGCTGCGGAGGAGGACAACGTGAAGCTTCTGAAGTTCTGGATGACAGGCCTCAGCAAGACCTACAAGTCCCATCTGATGTCGACGGTTCGCAGCCCAACCTCATCCGAGTCTCGGAACTAGAGCTGTCCATCTGTGTGCGTTTTAGGCTCAACAGAGACTTATGGGAGTCCACCATGATCCAGATCCAGGGCTGAGATGGAGGAGGACTCCACATTCTGGTGCAGGCACAAAGACTTGGTGCTCTTCCATTACTAATCCTGGATTCCAGCAGATGAGAAAGAGAGGGCTTCTTCCCTTGAAAGTCCTGTTAAACATGGAATTTTCCTTGCCTGCCATCTTGCTCGAACACTTCCTATGCCTTTTCTACACTGATAAAAAATCTAGATTATCTGCTTTGAACTGATTATGACTCTCCACTGCTATATCATTCAGTTCAATACAGATAATCTGCATTTTATATGGCAGTGTAGATGGGACCTTGGTCTTTCCACTTGGATGCTAACTCAACAAAATGGGCGGCTTCATCTGCCATCTCACATATTCAGACTTCATCAGTACCTTATTTTGATTTTCAAGCACAGGCTCATAAGCATGCTCTGAATTTGTCCCTAAATTAAGACTGAAGAGCGGGTTTAAATTATTTATAAGATGTGTGTACTAGATTAGCTTCAATACATAATATATGGAACGAATGTTGGTCATCTTGTATTGACAGGTCGTTGGACGAAGAGACATTATCAAGATTTTAACTTCTTTTGTAAATAAAATTAAATGGTAGCTGTTTGATAGAGGAATGACTCTCAGTCGCTTTGTATTGAGAAGGCTTGGGCTAAGAGACACAACAAAATGAGCTGCTTTTAAAAATAAACTTATTAGGATTACATCATTCTTTTCTAGGAAAAAGAATGTTCCAATATATGAAATACTTCTCCCTTTAAGGGGATACATACAAGCTGAACCTAAACCTATTAATTATCCAAATTCACACTTTATTGTTCTGTATTTCTTTCCCTTTTGTTCTTCCTTCCTTCCTTCCTTCCTTCCTTCCTTCCTTCCTTCCTTCCTTCCTTCCTTCCTTCCTTCCTTCCTTCCTCCTCTTTCCTTCCAATGTCTTTATCTTTCCTTCTTTCTTTCTCTTGCCTTTCTTCCATTCTTTCTCTTTCCTTCCTTGTCCTTCCTTCATTCTGTTGTTATCTTTCCTTCTTCCTGTCTCTTTCTATCCTTCTTCCTTCCATTCTGTCACTACCTTTCCTTAAACTTTCCATTCTGTCTTTATCCTTCCTTCTTTCTTTCTTTCCTTGCATCCGTCTTTCCTTTAATTCTGTCCTTCTCCTTCCTTCTTTCTTTCCTTCTGTCCTGTCTTCTTTCTTTCTTTCTTTCTTTTTCTTTCTTTCTCCTTCCGTCCTCCTTCCTTCCTTCCATTCTGTCTTTATCTTGCATTCTTTCTCTTTCCTCAAGTTCTTTCTTCCATTCTTTTTCTCTTTCCTTCCATCTGTCCTTGCTTCATTTCTCTTTCCTTTTTTCTTTCTCTTTCCTTCCATTCTGTCTTCCTTTTCCCTTTCTTCCTCCATCCATTTTTTCCTTCTTTCTCTTTCCTCAAGTTCTTCCTTCCATTCTGTGTTTCTTTCCGTCCTCTTTCCTCAAGTTCTTCCTTCCATTCTGTGTTTCTTTCTGTCTTTCTCTTTCCTTAAGTTCTTCCTTCCATTCTGCCTTTCTCCTTCCTTTCTCTTTTCTTTCCATTCTGTCTTTCCTTCCTTCTTCCACTTTCTATTCTGTCTTTCTCTTCCTTTTTCCTTCTATCCATCCTTTCTTCAATTTTGTCTTTCCATTTTTTCTTTTTCCTTATGTTCTGTTTTTCTCATTCCTTCTTTATCTTTTCTTTCTTTCTTTCTTTCTTTCTTTCTTTCTTTTCCCTTTCTTCCTCTGTTCATTCTGTCTTCTCTTCCTTTTCTCTTTCCTTCCATTCTGTCTTTCTCTTCCTATTTGTCTTTCCTTCAATTTTGTCTTTCTCCCATTTTTTCCCTTATGTTTTGTCTTTCTCATTCCTTTTTTCTTTCTCTTTCCTCCAGTTCTTTCTTCCATTCTTTCTCTTTCCTTCCATTCCGTCTTAATCTTTCCTTCTTTCTTTTCTTCCTTCCATTCTGTCTTTCTCCTTCCTTTTGTCCTTCCTTCCATTTTGTCTTTATTATGTCTTCTTCCTTTCTCTTTCCGTCCACCTCTCTTCCATTGTCTTTCTCTTTCCTTCTTTCTCTTTCCTTTCATTCTGTCTTCCTCATTCTGTCTTTCATTCCTTCTTTATTGTGCCTTCTCTTTTTCCTCCTTCCCCAAAGGGAGTGTCTTTGGGGGGAAAATATAATAAAGCGATGTACATTCCCAACATAGCTACTCAAGGGCACCCAACAGGCACCTTTCCTTGTGGCTGCGATAGCCACTCGAGGGTGAAAAAAGGATAAAACATTGGAGCTGTGGCGTCCCTGTGGAAAAAGCGCTTTAAGGAAGGAGCAGATGACAAACGGGGTGGCATTCTTGACGTGCACACTGGGGGTGGAAATGGACCCAACTGTTTTAGCACTGCAGGACACACTCAAATCGCTGGATGGGGGGGAGGGAGGGGAGAAAAGTGGCAGGGCGCATGTGCAGAATGTAGCCAGCTCTGAGGAAGTCTTCTCTTAGGCGATCCCTCGTAGTCCGAGGATGATGGTCCTCCAAGTGTAGTATCCTGGTGGTGGGTCCGTAGGTGACTATGGAGCCCTATTCTTGATCTGCATCTTCTCCCACAGTGAGGGCACTGGTTTCCAGGTGGAAGGCGGTCCTGGTCGGGATTGGCTTGATGCGCCTTCATCCTGGCACGTTTCTCTCTTTCGCCCTCCATTCGTGCCTCTTCAAATTCTGCAGCACTGTTGGTCACAGCTGACTTCTAACTGGAGCACTCAAGGGCCAGGGCTTCCCAGTTCTCAGTGTCTATGCCAGGGTTTTTAAGGTTGGCTTTGAGCCCATCTTTAAATCGCTTTTCCTCTCCAACATTCTGTTTTCCATTCTTGAGTTCGGAGTAGAGCAACTGCTTTAGGAAACTGTATTCGGGCATCTGGACAACATGGCCAGTCCAGCAGAGTTGATGGCGGAGGACCATTGCTTCAATGCTGGTGGTTTTTGCTTCTTCCAGCATGGTGACATTTGTCCACTTGTCTTCCCAAGAGATTTGCAGGATTTTTCAGAGGCAGCGCTGATGGAATCGTTCCAGAAGTTGCATGTGATGTCTGTAGATAGTCCACGTCTCGCAGGCATATAGCAGGGTTGGGAGGACAATAGCTTTATAAACAAACCCCTTGGTATCCTTACGGATGTCCCGGTCCTCACACACTCTCTGCTTCATTTGGAAAAATGCTGCACTCGCAGAGCTCAGGTGTTGTATTTCAGTGCTAATGTTGACTTTTGTGGAGGGGTGGCTGCCAAGGGAGCGGAAATGGTCAACATTTTCTAATGTTTATTTATTTATCGTGTCATCAGCAACCATACCATTGTATTACATTTCTAACAGAACAAAACAAACAAAAAGATTTTTTTTTAAAAAAAACACACAGATTTTGCAAACTTGGTAGTTGATTAAATGTCCTTTGACCAGTATCTGGCCACTTGGAGTGCCTCTGGTGTTGCTGTGAGGAGGTCCTCCATGGTGCATGTGGCAGGGCTCAGGGTGCATTGCAGCAGGTGGTCTGTGGTTTGTTCTTCTCCACACTCGCATGCCATGGATTCCACCCTGTAGCCCATTTCTTAAGATTGGCTCTGCATCTCGTGGTGCCAGAGTGCATTCTGTTCAGCGCCTTCCAAGTCGCCCAGTCTTCTGTGTGCCCAGGAGGGAGTCTCTCATCTGGTATCAAATGTTAAGAAAGATAAGAACACAGACAAACTACTGTTTTTAGCAACGACAGCGGCAAGAATATGTCTTGCCAAACACTGGAGGAAGAAAGAAGCTCCACAACTAGGGGAATGGAAAAGGAAAATATTAGAGGTGAGAAACATGGACAGACTGAGCTTTATTATACAAAGAAGTAAAGGGATAATGGAATTAGAAACGGACTGGACAAAATTTAAAGAATACTTAAAGCTAGACAAGTAAGCTCAAGAATAAGTAAACTAGAAGAAAACTATAAGAGAAGAAATGAGGAGAAGAGTGGGACATAAACCTCATACTAGTCGAAACAAGACACTCTAAACAGATAGAAAAATGAGGAAGAAACGAAAGAAAAGGATAAAACCTCCCTCAAAGAATCTGGGAAGTCATGGGGATCGAAGAACGAACTTTCTTGGACTCTCTTTTTCTTTTATCTGACACCCCTACCTCCCCCACACCACCCCTCTCCCCCCCCCCTATATATTTCTAACCCTCACTTGGCTACCCCCCTCCCCTTTCTCCCACCCCATACTTCCCCAACCCCTCCTGGACCTCCTCTCCTTTCCCCTCAAACATCACTGTTGGTATCTATTTTAGAAAACTGCAATAAAGAATTATAAAAAAAAAATAAAATAAAATTATTTTCAAAGCTTAATGTATAAGACACTTGTTAAACCATGTAGCAGTGAAAGGACGCCACTGGTCGAGCAACCGATTGCTGGGGAGGAGGCCAAGGGGCCTGTGCGTGCGCGTGCAGACATAAGCGTGAGGGGAAAAAAGGCGTCTGGATGGCGGGGAAACCTGCTACTAAGGAGGCTGTCCAGGTCCTGAACCGGTGCTTGGTTGCTGTGACGGTCTGGATGAGGGCGAACAAATTGAAATTGAATCCAGACAAGACAGAGGTACTCCTGGTCAGTCGCAAGGCCGAACAGGGCATAGGGTTACAGCCTGTGCTGGATGGGGTTGCACTCCCCCTGAAGATGCAGGTTCGCAGTTTGGGTGTGATCCTGGATTTATCGCTGAGCCTGGAACCCCAGGTCTCGGCGGTGACCAGGGGAGCATTTGCACAGCTTAGGCTTGTGCGCCAGCTGCGCCCGTACCTTGGGAAGTCTGACTTGGCCACGGTAGTCCACGCTCTGGTTACATCCCGTTTAGACTACTGCAACGCTCTCTACGTGGGGTTGCCTTTGAAGACGGCCCGGAAGCTCCAATTGGTCCAACGTGCGGCAGCCATGATTTTAACAGGGGCGGAGCGCAGGGAGCATACAACCCCCCTGCTGTACCAGCTCCACTGGCTGCCGATCTGCTACCGGGCTCAATTCAAGGTGCTGGCATTGGCCTATAAAGCCCTAAACGGTTCCGGCCCACGATACCTGTCCAACCGCATCTCGACCTACGAGCCCACCAGGACTTTGAGATCTTCCGGGGAGGCCCTGCTCTCGATCTTGCCTGCTTCACAGGCACGGCTGGTGGGGACGAGAGATAGGGCCTTCTCGGTGGTGGCTCCTCGGCTGTGGAACACCCTTCCCGTGGACATCAGACTGGCTCCTTCCCTGATGATATTCCGCAGGAAATTAAAGACTTGGTTGTTCAAGAAGGCGTTCGAACAAGAAGTGCAATGATTGGTAATGACTATAGGAATGGAACAACGGAAAATGATACTGGATTGTGGTTTGGACGATGAGACGACGCTGAATGGTTTTCGTAGTAATGATGATGTTTTTTGTATAATGCTGGATTGTGAATTATTTTATACTGTGTCTTGAATTCTGTTCTTTCTATGTTGTACACCCCTGTGAGTCGCCCCTGGGCTGAGAACAGCGGTATATAAGCAAAGTAAGTAAGTAAGTAAGTAAGTAAGTAAGTAAATAAAGGGGCTGCGCATGCGCATTGCACACAAATACTTAGGGGGAAAAAGAGCGCTAAAAGGGCGAGCAGCGATTGGACGGAGGGGAGGAGGCAAAGGGGTTGCGCATGCGCAGTGCAGACATAAGCGGTGAGGGGAAAAAAAAGAGCGCCAAAAGGGCGAGCAGCGATTGGACGGAGAGGAAGAAACAAAAGGGCTGCGCATGCGCAGTGCACACAAATAGTTGAGGGGGGAAAAAGAGCGCTAAAAGGGCGAGCAGCGATTGGACGGAGGGGAAGAAACAAAGGTGTTGCGCGTGCGCAGTGCAGACATAAGCGTTGAGGGGGGAAAGAGCGCCAAAAGGGCGAGCAGCGATTGGACGGAGGGGAAGAAACAAAGCGGCCGCGCGTGCGCAGTGCAGACGCGAGAGTTGAGGGAAACCAAGAAGGCGGCGGAGGGCATGCGGGGCGGCTGGGCGCAGGCCTGGCGGACATTGCTGGCGGTGGGTGTGGGCGTGGCGGCGGAGGCGCTGGCGGGCTGGCTGCTCCGGCGGAGGCGGGAGGGCTCGGCGGTGCGGGAGGCCCTCTTCTTCCCCTCGCGCGCGACCTGCGTGGAGGCGCTGCTGGCAGAGGAGGGGGGCGGGCCCTCGCCGGGGCCTTGCGCCTGCCCGCTCCCGCACCAGGAGAGCCCGCTCAGCCGCCTGCTGGCCCACCTGCTCGCCGCCCGCCGCTCCCTCGACCTCTGCGTCTTCGCCTTCTCCAACCCGCAGCTCCGCCGCGCCCTCCTCCTCCTCCACCGACGCCGCGTCCGCATCAGAGTCGTCACCGACGCAGACTACATGGCGCTCAGGGGCTCCCAGATCGGGATCCTCCGGAAGGCCGGTGAGGAAGAAGGGATAGCTGGGGGAGTCCGCTGTCTTGAGGGAAATCATCATAATACTAACAATAATAATAATTATTATTATTTGCACCCCAAGGGACTCGGTGCGGCTTACATGAGGCCAAGCCCACAATACATCAATAAACTAATAATAATAATACTTTATTTGTACCCCGCTACCATCTCCCCAAAGGACTCGGTACGGCTTACATGAGGCCGAGCCCACAATACATCAATAAACTAATAATAATAATAACACTTTATTTGTACCCCACTACCATCTCCCCAAAGGACTCGGTACGGCTTACATGAGGCCGAGCCCACAATACATCAATAAACTAATAATAATAATAACAACCTTTATTTGTACCCCACTACCATCTCCCCAAGGGACTCGGTGCAGCTTACATGAGGCCAAGCCCACAATACATCAATAAACAAACAATAATAAGAATAATAACACTATTTGTACCCCATTACCATCTCCCTAAAGGACTCAGTGTGGCTTACATGAGGCCGAGCCCACAATACATCAATAAACAAATAATAATAATACTTTATTTGTACCCCACTACCATCTCCCCAAGGGACTTGGTGCGGCTTACATAAGGCCAATCCCACAATACATCAATAAACAAATAATAATAATACTTTGTTTGTACCCTGCTACCATCTCCCCAAGGGACTCGATGTGGCTTACATGAGGCCAAGCACAATATAATAATAATAATAATAATAATAATAATAATAACACTTTATTTGTACCCCGCTACCATCTCCCCAAGGGACTCAGTGCAGCTTACATGAGGCCAAGCCCACAATACATCAATAAACGTAACATAATAACACTTTATTTGTACCCTACCATCTCCCCAAGGGACTCGGTGCGGCTTACATGAGGCCGAGCCCACAATACATCAATAAACTAATAATAATACTTTATTTGTACCCCGCTACCATCCCCAAAGGACTCGGTGCGGCTTACATGAGGCCGAGCCCACAATACATCAATAAACTAATAATAACACTTTATTTGTACCCTGCTACCATCTCCCCAAGGGACTCGGTGCGGCTTACATGAGGCCGAGCCCAAAATACACAATAAACTAATAATAATACTTTATTTGTACCCTGCTACCATCTCCCCAAAGGACTCGGTGCGGCTTACATGAGGCCGAGCCCACAATACATCAATAAACTAATAATAATACTTTATTTGTACCCTGCTACCATCTCCCCAAAGGACTCGGTGCGGCTTACATGAGGCCGAGCCCACAATACATCAATAAACTAATAATAATACTTTATTTGTACCCTGCTACCATCTCCCCAAAGGACTCGGTGCGGCTTACATGAGGCCGAGCCCACAATACATCAATAAACTAATAATAATACTTTATTTGTACCCTGCTACCATCTCCCCAAAGGACTCGGTGCAGCTTACATGAGGCCGAGCCCACAATACATCAATAAACTAATAATAATACTTTATTTGTACCCTGCTACCATCTCCCCAAAGGACTCGGTGCGGCTTACATGAGGCCGAGCCCACAATACATCAATAAACTAATAATAATACTTTATTTGTACCCTGCTACCATCTCCCCAAAGGACTCAGTGCGGCTTACATGAGGCCGAGCCCACAATACATCAATAAACTAATAATAACACTTTATTTGTACCCCGCTATCATCTCCCCAAGGAACTCGGTGCGGCTTACATGAGGCCGAGCCCACAATACATCAATAAACTAATAATAATAATAATACTTCGTTTGTACCCTGCTACCATCTCCCCAAGGGACTCAGTGCGGCTTACATGAGGCCAAGCCCAAAATACACCAATAAACTAATAATAATAATAATAATGATAACACTTTATTTGTACCCGGCTACCATCTCCCCAAAGGACTCAGTGCGGCTTACATGAGGCCAAGCCCACAATACATCAATAAACAAATAATAATAACACTTTATTTGTACCCCGCTACCATCTCCCCAAGGGACTCGGTGCGGCTTACATGAGGCCAAGCCCAAAATATATCAATAAACAAATAATAATAATAATAACACTTCCCAAGTGTTGTTGTTATTGTTGTTGTTGTTATTATTATTATTATTATTAGAAACACAAAAAGATGAGTGCACAGCAAACAAGGTCACTCTGCTGGCTGTTGTATTGGATCATACGTTGGACTCTTCCCAAGTGTCTAGGACTGTGTGATGTATCGGCAAATAATGCGTGCAGATCCCAGTAGGGTGGCCTTTTGCTGCTAACAGATGGTAACTGTCAGCACTGACTGTGTTTAAGTGCAAGCCGAGGTCTTGAGGCACGGCCGATCACCACTGGGACCACCTTGACTGGCTTGTGTCAGAGTCTTTGCAGTTCAATCTTTAAATCCTCATATCGTGTCAACTTTTCCAGTTGTTTTTCTTCAATTCTGCTGTCACCTGGGATTGCAACATCAACAATCCATGCTTTGTTTTTTAACACGATTGTGAGGAGTATTCTGCTCCAAAACTCTGTCTGACTGAATTCGGAAGTCTCAGAGTAGCTTGACGTGTTCATTTTCTGTAACTTTTTCTTGTGATCCCATCAATTCTTTTTTACAGGTAGATTGTGTTTGTGGCACAAGTTCCAATGAATCATCTGAGCAACGGTGTTGTGCCTCTGCTTGTAGTCTGTCTGTCTGTCCGATCCTCTTGCAGCAGCTGAGGATGTGATCTATCGTTTCATCTGCTTCCTTGCTGAGTCTACACTTGGGATCTGTCGTTGACTTTTCTATTTTGGCTTTGATGGCATTGGTTCTAATGGCTTGTTCTGGTCTGCCAGAATTTGGCCCTCCTTTGTCTCCTTTTTCAAAGTCCCATTTGTGAGCCACATCCATGTTTTTTCTTTGTCAATTTGGCTCTCAGTTTTCCCCAGGAACTGTCCATGGAGAGCCTTCTTTCGCCAGTTTTCTCTTCTGCTCTGGATTGTGTTTTTACGGTATTCACTTTTTATCTTTTGCACTTGAAGCAGTTTACTACTATTGACTTCCATCAATGTTGGTCCTTGACTGCCTTTCACATAATCTGCCAGTGCGTGTTTCTCTTCTTCTACCATTTGTTTCACTTGCAGAAGCCCTCTGCCTCCTGATTTTCTGGGCAGGTAACGTCTGTCGACATCACTACGCGGGTGTAATGAGTAGTGGATTGTCATCAGTTTTCTCGTTTTTCTGTCCAAATCATCCAGCTCTGCTTGTGTCCAGTTCACAATTCCAGCAGTGTATGTGATGACAGAGATGGCCCAGGTGTTGATAGCCTTGATTGTATTTCAGCCATTTAATTTGCTCTTCAAAACCTTTGACTCTTTGGACATATTCTTTGCTAACCACATTTTTCACATGCCCATGCTTCATATTGTCCAATCATAGTATGCTCAGATACTTATAGGCTTCAGGTTGATTGCATTTTATAGTTTGTCCATTTGGCATCTCTTTGCCCTTGCTGTGAATAATTTTCCCTTTCTTTACTGCTACTGTGGCACATTAGCCTAAGCTGAACTCCGTACTGATGTCAACGCTGAAGATTCTGACTGTGTTGGTCAGTGACTAGATTTTGGTTTCTGATTTTCCGTAAAGCTTTAGATCATCCATGTACAGCAAGTGAGAAAATTTTGGTGAATTTCTTGATGTTTGGTAGCCAAGGTTTGTTGTTTCTCCTCCTCCTCCTCCTCCTCCTCATGATCATTATGCATTGTATGAAACATACAGAATAATCACAGGATGTCTCAGACCTACACCTGTTGATAGACTCTACATGCTAGCTGGCATCCCCCCCCCCCCCCCCCCCCCGGGATTGTGATGGGAAGTTGCTTCTAACTGGGAAAGAAATAAGGCTGAACACCATGAAAGCCACCCACTGCAGGACTATCAGTCTCGTCCCATGAAGGAAAAGCTTCATGAGAACCACCACTCCTCTTAACATTCCCCCAGAAACTGCAAAAGTATCCCTCTGGGCAGCTAAACCAGGAAATCCCAATTGTATGGCCCCCCACGAGGGTCTTCCTTCAGGGGCAAAGCAAGAATGGACGACTTGGAAGTCCCTGAACAGACTCAGAAGTGGAATGGGCAGATCAAAAGACAACCTGGCAAAATGGCACTTACCTGAAAGAATCCTCAACCTTGTGTGGCAGTGGAGCAGAACAGACAGCTGTTTATGCAGACAGGTTTTTAAGATCATGTCAGGAGCTGCTGTGGTTTTATATGTTTTTATGGATTTAATTTTGAGTTGGTTTTAATACTAATGTTTAATGCTGTTTTAATATTTGTATATTTTCAATTGTATGCTGATATTTTTATGTTTACCCACATTGAGTCTCCTGTGGGAGAGATAAAGCGGGGTGAAATAAATATATAACAATGTAACCCAGGAACAAAAGTCATGTTATGCAGTGTAATAGTATCTTTATCCAGCTCTTGACAAAAATGCCCTGTGATTATCTTGAGCAGTTGTTCTCAACCTGTGGGTCCCCAGGTGTTTTTGCCTACAACTCCCAGAAATCCCAGCCACTTTACCAGCTGTTAGGATTTCTGGGAGTTGAAGGCCAAAACATCTGGGGACCCCAGGTTGAGAACCACTGAGTTAAAGGATCTTGAATCAACTTTCCTTGTTACTGTATATTTGCAGCAATAATGGCATCTTTTTCTCTCTCTTGACAAAAATGTCCTTTGACTAATTAAAGACCTGGAAGCAACTCTTTGTTGATATATATTTGCACTCTCTGTCCATCTTCTTTCTCTGCCCTCTATCTCAATTCTGTTTTCTTCACTCCTATGTCTATCATCTATTAATCCACCAAACCTGTCTTCTCGCTCCTATCTGTCATCAATTTACAGCATCTATTTACCGCAGACCACAAGTGGGCTGCAAGGACAAAAATCTGGTCTGCAAGCCTCTTCTCATTATTTATTTTATTTCCACTCCTTTTTCATTTCCTGTCGTTGACCATGGTATATGTTCTGTATCAGAAACTAGAGCTGATGTGGTCTACCAATGCAATTTTCTGAATCAGCACCCCAAATAACCAAACCAAATCTAAAGTTGACTAAAAACCGATTCGTAACCCTTTTGGTACTAATGTTGGGGAGTGGTTCCCTGGACAAAAAAAAGGTTGGGAACCACTGGTCTACAGCCTGCCTCTTTCTCCTCTTTCTCTTCTTTCTCTTCTCTTCTTTCTCTTCTTTCTCCTCTTTCTCTTCTTTCTAATTATATCGATCATCTGTCTATCTACATCTTTCTCTCTATTTGTCTCTCTTAATCCTGTTTTCTCTTCTAAGTATATCTACCTGTCTCTTTCTTGGAAAAGATGGGGAGAAACAAGTGTATTGAGGAGGTAATGGAGCCCACAAATTGGGTGTACAGCCTGATTGACCCCTTCTTGTTTGCCTCATGTAGGAAGAAAGTGGGAGGGAAGAGTGAATACACCACTGAGCGCAGGCTGAGCACATAGTAGGCTTTGCTCCCCTTTTGCTGTGTGACTAAACAAATGTGCAACTACTGAGCTGTGACCTGGAGGTTGCAGATCTTTCATTCCTTTTTCAGGGCAGAGGGCTTTGGGAGTGAGTGAAGATTTGTGTAAGATCCCTTTCCCTGCAATAGGGAAATATTTAAAGGTACTCATGTATCAAAGTATTTTCTTGCAATGTGTATATTATCTTACCAACAAAGAGGTACAAGCCCTGTATGATTTTCTGAATAAATTTGCACTAAACATATTAAGAATTTGATTAAAAATCAGCCTTTTTCTTGAATTATGATTTTTTTTAATACTGAGATAAATTTGGTGGGAAGTCAAAAAGTGAATTTCTAACATTGAATTTTCTGTTTTGCTTTTCATAGGAATTCAGGTACGTCATGATCAAGAGACTGGTTACATGCACAATAAGTTTGTCATTATTGACAAAAAAGTTCTGATCACTGGCTCTTTGAACTGGACTACTCAAGCCATCCAAAATAACAGAGAGAATGTCATTATAATAGATGACAAAAAAATTGTGGATGTTTTTCTGGCAGAATTTGAGAAGATTTGGGAGGACTTCAATCCAACTAATTATACATTTTTCACCAACTGAGGAAAGCTGGTATTGAACAAGAATAAAACTACCAGGTATAGAAACAGAGCTGAGCAAGTGACAAAAGTTTTGGTCCAACTGTTATTCCATACATTATTTTAAAATAGTGTTTAGTGGTGAGAATGTAGCCAAGATGTTGATAGTTTTCTGGAACAAGTTGTTTTTTTGGTGGATAGAATATAGATGTTAGTGTTTAAATCCAGAAGTTTCATACAAGGCAGCGTGCAGTATAAATATGTGTTATGTGTTCTCTTCAAATTTGAAGAAGAGTTTTAATTTAGTTGTCTTCCAGGGTGTTTAGCTTCAATATGATGGATGCTGTACAAGTAAGAAATGTTTAAAGTAAGTTCATAAAATGTGGAAAGAAAATTTCTAACCAACTGCCTTTAAGTTTTAAGACTATACTGAGATCCTGCAACGTGTAGGTAGAGCACAACACACGGGCTGCACATTTCTAGCCCCTGTAAAGGCAGTTTTCTGGTCTCTCTTGGTGCCACTCTATTTATGGCTGGCTTTTTCTTCTGATTACTAAACTGCTAGAAGGTGTTGTTAGGTTCCCCTTGTAAGCAGGCCAGTAAACAGCCATAACGTGCAGTCTACTCAGGTAAATCTGCCTAGCTACTTGTGTAACTATTGTATGCTAGTATAGGTCACCAACAATATTTCAGCCATAGAGAAAATCAGTCCTTGGCACATCAGGAGATCATTTTAATAGCAAGGCTAAAGTACATGTAGAGTATACACAATCACAGTAGTCTTGTATTGCACAGAGCTTACTTGTTAACAATCAGTGCTGTTGATTCGCCATCTTTTTTTTCCTAGCAGTAAGATATATATGTGCCAAAGGAATGTTAATTCTGTTTATTTCGTGACTCTCGCTCAGGTGCTTTCAGCCTGTGACCTAATAAAGAGTCTAGTTTCAACAAAAATCTCCTCCAGAGCACGTCAAGGGTGGTGCAAAAATAGTTTATTACCATATAGTTTTATGTATAGTTAAGTAATTTATTTACAAAATAATCATCAACTACATCCATGGGAACCCTAGCATGTGGAATAAATACTGTGACAAAGTGATACTTCTATTACGGTGAACAGCTGAAGAGGGAACTAGTTTTTTTTTCTTCAAAGCTTGAAAATAAAACAGAAAGATAACTTTCAGCCCCATCAGGAGTTTAAAACACATTTTCTTCACAAAGCAGGCAGGGTGGATTCATTCCCCAGCAGATAGGTGAACTGGTTTTATTTAAATCTGCCTCTTCCATGCGAGTTAATTTTTCAGTGGTTATCCCTTACTCCCCTACAAACAACAAACGCTGCCACAGCCTTTTTCTACCTCTGGATTTTGCAAAGCATCGGGAATTGATTTCATGCTTGATTCTTGGAGGTACCACTCAGAAAAGGAGCCATTTGTCAGTTTAGACTTGAAGTTCATGTAGGTCTGGTAGGCAGGAAAGCCGACTGGCTGTCTTAGAGTGAAAGCTCAAGCGTCTGGGCCTATTTTAAAGTAGGCTGGTGAGAAGTGTGAGTGAGAAAGAATCGAAGTAGTTATACTATGTGTAGTGCTAAACACTCTTAGCCATCGATACATTTGATTCAAACACATAATTGTTGCTATTTTAAAACAGATCAGAGTTAGTGCTCTACTTGGCAGAATGAAATGAAAGTCCTACGTAATGATCGAATAGATTTGATAGTTTTCTTGTTACTAAATTGTGTTCCACTGCCAACTAGCCCAATGTAGTCTACCCTCTAGTAGATACTGAAATATTCCAGAAGCCGTTGAAACCACTGCAAAACCAAAGCATAGTGTGTGGCACGTAATCCTTCTTGGTCAGAAATAGATTCAAACAGCAAAGATGGCCTTGGCACTGCACCTTTGCTGAAACTACATTGCAGTTAAATACAGTGTAAGTAAACAGAGTAGTCATCCTACATTGACTGCGTTTGGCCATGCTGTTACAACACCATGCCATGTGAAAGGGACGTCAGGGTTGTGGGAATCAAATCTAGTTGGTTCCTTATAGAAACTCTGTTTGCTCTGCAATAGTTGATTAACCATGCAAGAATATTGGTAGGCTTAGAAGGAGTAGCTACCACCACCATTACTATATAAATACAGTGTTATCTGCACACCCAAGAGTTGTTTACGCTACTGCCAACTAGAAGGGAAAGGGAAGTAAATAGGGATGAAAATCAATGTATAGGTAAATACATTTAAAGTTCTGAAGCACTGTACATGTTCTTTGGACAGGCATTTCCAAAACTAAAAGGTCTCAGAGAAATTTAAAAATATATTTGTAACATTCAAACAAACCAACAAACATTCTGTAAGGGAACATAGAGCAGGTTTATCAGGTTACACTAAATTTCTTTTCCAAGTCAAAAGGACATCTGTATTAGAACAAGATTAAAAAAAAGTCACCCCAAAAAACCCTCCACTAGTTTTTGAGTAATAAATATTTACATTGCGTGCTCTGAATACTATACAGGTTTTAAATTATTTTAGAGAATAACAAAGCATTAAAAATGGGAAAAAAAATTACAAAGGAAAAGTAAGCTACACTGAGCGTGCATGTGCTTAAAAGTGTTCACAACAAAGTACTGCATATGAACCACCAAAATGCAGAAAGTCCAGTGGGAGTCTAATCAAGTCATTACAAAAAGCAACACTTCTTTAAAATAATGCACTGGGCTACTTGCAGGCAGCCTCTGCCACAGGAAAAACAGCCTGCATGGATTTTGCACATCAGCACAAGCAATCCTCCTTTTCATTTCTTAACCGGTTAAAGGAAAACAAGCTGATTTAATAGAGGACTAGTTTCTGTTTCAGAAAAGTGATTTGTTTTTTCTAAACAAGATTTAAGAAGCAATTAAGCAGATGCACATCTATTTGTTCTAACTTTCTCTTAACTTTCCAGATATTTTTGTAGTGTAGGTTCAAATAAACAGTTTGCAGTAAACTATACCTGTATATTCACATAACATCTGTACTGTAACCTTTCAGAATATCAGCTTGTTTTTAGGTTTTTTTTGAGAACCTTGGTATGTCTTGAGCAGAAGAAGACTGCCTTGAACAAAAAGAAATTAATAGCTTCACTAGTGATAAACACATTTTGTAAAGTATTGGATTAGAGAAGTGTAGGTGGATTGATTTCGATCCCACCTGTAATGATTTTGCAAAGTATTTGTTCTTCAAGCACATTTATCTCAAGTTTCATGTAAATATCATGAAAAAAAATAAGTTTCTTGTTGTAGAAGCAAGAAAAACCAAGTCTGGGATACATTTTCAAGGACAGTTCAATTTCCATTTTCTCCGTCACCATATCAGGGAATAGGAGGTTGGACAAACTGCTTAGGATGCCAATGAAACCCATGAAATAAAACCTGCCGGACACAAAGAGGAGATGCAAAGCCAAAAGACCACACTATTCCAAGATGACAACCTATCTTGAAAGAATATTAAACAACAGAATTTTATGTGACCCTCTTTGCTTTAGCTATTAACAGCAGCAAAGGTTCACCAAGAGTATTACTTGGTACATTAAAAGATAACCAAGAGCATGAAAAGAACCACTCAGCTTCAGTTTCTGTAGCATGCCTTGTGTATATTTTTGCCCCATAAGAAGTATCTACTTAGAAACAGCTCTGCCATTGCTATGTGTCTAAGCATTAAGGACAGCACGAAGTACATAAGAGATGGGCCGATCTTGCTGCCTGCAAGGACCTTATTTTACAGATTAGTTTCTGACCAAAAGGCCAATGTTTTGATCTGAATAGATTGCACTGCAGAAATCCACTCTCAAGTAACCTGAAATCTACAGAATTAGTACAGAATGCAAGTAAAAGACGTTAAAATACAAACGTGATTTAGCCCTGAAAGCTTGAAGAATTAACTGTTACCGAAAGACTAAGCTGTTCAACAGAGCAGGGCTCCCTTGTTTTGGGTGCGGGGAGAGAATGCATGCACTGTTCAATGTGTCTATATACATTGTCTTAGTTGGTAAAGACCACTGACTGAGGAACCCAATACATTCAAGAATGTATTCAAAGCTTATAGCATTGGGAACAAGCAGAAAAGAAATCCAGATAGACCCACAGAACTGTTCTGTTTCAGATAAATGAAACCGAAAACTATCAGACATTCTACTAACTTTGACCTGCCATTTCCCTACAACTTAGATCTCCCATTCTACTACCATCATGCAACTGACTACCCCCACACAGATATTGTTAGCATGCATGAACAGACAGTATCTATACTTAAAATGTTCACGATCTGCTAAGCAAATTCCAAGGGCAAGCCCCCTTTTTGCTTTTAAATCTCTGCTTGGGGGGTCTGACTTGACCTCAGCACTACCGTCCCAGATACTGCATATATCTGTTTTCTGCTTTAGAAAGAGTCCTACCTACACTTCTGTACCATTTCTGCCAGTTGTGGCAAAAATTTATCTGAAGGACAAGTTGAAAAGTGCAAATTGCTTATTTTTCTTTCAGAAAGGAAATCATCTCCGAGTGTCTATGCAGAACATAAATTTTAAGTCCGTAATCTGATCTATGCTGTGTACACACAGGCAAATGCACCCCAGGAAAAGAAGAGAGGGTGCAGCAACTGATATGACTTGCCCTGAAATGTAGATAGCAATGGATGATTAAAGGTAGTGGTAAATTCCCTCAAGAGCCTGCTTAACAGTAGACTTATTTGTCAAGGTTCAATCATCACCTGTGCACAAGCCAGTTAAAGAAACCTTCTAAGCTAAATGAAGGGAAATAAAGCTCAGATGACTTCACACAGTGAAATAATGCAAGATGCTACCCCAAATGCCTCTCCTCTCCACCTAAAGCAAGCCATGTTTTTGTTCTTATAGCTGTAACCAGCACACTGCACTGAAAGGACTTGCGGTGTCAAAACCTGATGCATATTTTGTTCAAGAAGTATACAATATGGCTCAAAGCACGCACCTAAGTGCTGGGTTACTCTCAACTGTGGCAGAACTAAGCACAGTTGGTGGCCTTTTCCCTCCCAGGGCCCTGTTGCTATAGCATTCAGTAACACAGAGCTAGCTTATCAATAGGCTCTTAAGCCTTAATACTGACACTTAGTGTAATTGATATACAGTAGGAAGGATTTTTTTTCCATAGAATCCCAATGGGGCACATATCCCTATTACTCCTGTTGAGATCATCAATAAGGAGTCAGAGAGTCCAATGGATAGAGGGCAGTAAAACCGCCAGATTTTTCAGTCTTTTCTGCTGAAGCAATCCATTAAAAAGCGATGAGAATCTTAAGGAACAAAAACAAAACAAAAGGGGTGCTTGTGGTCTGATGCTGCAAGCGAGGAGGTGCACGTGAACAGGATGAACAGAAGGAGAACTAGTCTTTCTTCAAGTCCTTGGATTCAAAGAGCTTGAGGCGCTCCTGCACCGTCAGGCCTTCCTTCAGACTCTGCACATGGGGGTGGGGGTGGGAGTTTAAGGGAAGAGAAAGAGCAAACAGTTAAAATGCCATATTGGAGGGAAAAGACCAAGTCCAATATAGAGAGCTGGCACAGGCAGAGAAAAGACGAGAGATGGCATCCTCAATGAGATTAGAACATGCTGAAGAAAATGCACCATTATGCGATGGTGTTATTGGTGAATCAGTCCAAGATGAGAGAAAGACTACAGGTGAACTGGATGATCACAGGCATACTCTTTTTCTGGAAATAAAGGCCCTTTTCAGTGTGAAATCACATTTAGAGAACTATCCCTTTGATAAACAGGACCCAGAGCTTTGAAAAACCATGGTTTCTTTACAACTCAGACTGATGGTGCAGCGGGTTAAATTGCTGAACTTGCTGACTAAAAGGTCGGCAGTTCAAAACCGGGGAATGGGGTGAGCTCCCGCTGTTAGGCCCAGCTTCTGCCAACCTAGCAGTTTGAAAACATGTAATTGTGAGTA